TGAAACTAATACGACAGATTCATTGTTAATTATTGGCTCACAGCTTTTTTTATAACTCAAATGTGAATATTTTGATAATTGCCTGTAAGCCAAAATCCTCAAAATTATATCTAGACCTGCCAGATTTCACTTTGCATGTGATTTAGTCTACATCATATATCGGTTTCACATTTTTTGTCTAAATACAAAAATAAATGCGTTTTTGAATAATAACCTAATTGTTTGTTCAAAATGCTACTTCGAGACAGTATCCCCTTTTGATAAAAAACAGAACTATGATTGAAAAATGTATCTAAACTACAGAAATGGTAGATGGGTTAGGGTTAGAGATGTAAACTTGATTTTTGAGCTCCCACCAGTGACAATACGTTCACCGTAGTGTGTAATGTTGAGATGCGCTCATTATTTGGACATTTGGACATGCACACAGGATGCAGCTCAGTGGTGGGTCGGTCCAGTCCTCTGCTTCTGTGCCGGAAGACCACTGCTATCCTCCCTGAAGGCTCTGCTGTGTTCAGAATGTCCGCTCTGGCTCTGGACACTGCCCCTTTGTAGAGAGTGACGATGTCTTTTTTTTTTTTTTTTTCACTATTTGTCACACACATTGTCGTCTTTATCGTCGCTCCTTCTCCTGCCGTGGATGTGGCAACTTTGGTCTGTGTTACAAAAGCAAGATTAGTATTGCAACAGTTTTCTTATCAAGCAACTGTTCAATATTGAGTTGCAAATAAAGGAAACGCATGTGAAGTGGACGCAAGAATATGGATTTGTTTTAAAGCCAACCAATAATGCAACAGAGTATTGTAAAAAAAAAAAAAAAAACAACCCTGAGTGAGGGTGGTTGAACATTGGGTACTGGCGGCACAGTGGGTCTTGGTTTGTAAAAATGTGTTCTATAAATAAACATTACTTACTACTCGCTTACTACTTACCCCAGCTGTATTAAAACTCTAAATAGAAAACGTATTGGAGTGTGCACAGGAAAGGTCATCTGGAAAACCGCTAGACTTTTCTTCTGTTGCAGACATAACATTACTTTTATTCTATATATGAATCAAAATGACAATAGTAAGTAAGTAAGTAGACTATCATAAATTCCATACTCTCATAATACAAACCCTGACTCTAATGCCAAATACAGAACAAAGTGGTACAATAGTTCTTTTGTGAAACTGTTATTATTTTAGTGGTCAGCCTACGTCTTTGTGCTGTTTCAGTCGTTCAGAACAGTTGAAGTGCCAAAACAGTTGAAAACAATACTCTCTGGGATTTATTAAGAGTTTGAAAGTACCAGAGGTGAAAATGAGAGGTCACCATCTCAAAGAGCCTCTAACAGCTATAACTGTTAATATAGTACAAAAACGGCGATATCATGAGGTTATCAATGGGGACCGACCGATTTAGGAAAAATACTGATTTTTTTTAGGGTTCTTTTCTGCCGATTATCAACTTATCTGCAGAACCAGCTGTTCAGAGCTTTAGAATGTGTTATGATATGAACATATTGATGGTTGAATGATTATTTCTTTGTATCTCACTATATAATGAATTCTAGAGGTTCTAAGCTTTTAAGATTAAAATGAAATGTATTTATTAGCTCGGCTGAAGTTGGTGGTGGATGACGGTGTGTTGTCTTGTGTTTGCATCATCAGTCACCAATAGTAGATCTGTGGATTGTAATACAACAGAAAAAATGAAGCGGTCACTTACAATAATAAAAACTTAATATTTTTATTTCTATCCTTATGCACTTTGTGAAATGTAACTAAATCTTATCCTTTATTTGTCCCATGGGGGAAAATGTCTGTGTTGCATCACAGGTGACAGAGCCGTAGGGATGAGGAGCACACAACTCTATTCTCAAAAAAATCAAAAAGAATCTCTATCCTAACCTATGTACTCTGGTGAAAATAAATTTCTCCCATAACAATATTAATTATAACAGCAATAATTTATGTATAACAAATTATAATAATTTTATTTATTCCAATTTCATACTATTTTTCACAAATAATGTATCTCTTCTGCTGCTGCATCTGTGTGCCTTCTCTTGTATGTTCTTTTCCATGCTGGAAGAGGGCAAACCTGATCAAAGCTCTGAAAGCCAAACAGACACTCGGTTTGGACTCCCTCGCTGCGCTATGTCCCTGACGTGCCAAAAAGCATTGCACTCAAATTGATTCATAACAAGCTACCACATCTTCTGCCCTTGGAGAAATAAACCATTGGGAAATATGTTCTCTTTTTCAGCATGGTCAAACTTTATGAGCAGGAATGTTGTGTGACAGGGGGAAGCCGTGTGATACTCCTACTGTGAGAGCCGGCTGATTTATAAGTCTCCTGCTTGGCTACCTGACAGTGATGACCACAAGAGCAAGACGCCGTGTTTGCTTTGCATCTGGCCTCAATATCCTGTGGACCCCAGGGCGACATGCTTCTACAGTGTGGTACGAGGCTGCTCTACTCCGCTTTGGGCACACCACTCATTGAGCTGTGGTTAACCTGCAGCTATGGCAACCGCTGTTTTCCGCCTATCACGGGACAGAAAAGTTTTTTGATGTCCGTGCCCTACCCAAACAGAGAGACGCCTGACCGCACACAGCATTGTACTGGCAGCTGGAGCTCTTTTTCGTTGCTTTTCGACTTGACAATGGAGACACTTGAGTTTCTTGTCTCTGGGGATAAGGCCGATGGTTTTGGGGCTGTATCAGTAGATCTGCACAAGGCCAAAACCACACTAGAAGAGAACTAAAAAGTTTACAAGCTTTATAAGGCTGTAGTTGATTAGTTTGCCTCAAAAACAGCTTCTTTCCAACTTCTTTTTGGTCCCTCAGCCACTCCTTGATGTGAATGTTCATGTAAGTTTGATTTGTATGTCTTCCCTGTTTTTCTGCTGTACCAGAAACAAATTCTACCAACTTGTTTTCTGGTCCTTAATAAACGATTCTGATCTAAGAAATGCTTGGTCAACAAGGTCATGTGCAATCTGTCGAATAAAACGGGCATGGGAAAATTTCGAGACATATCTTATATCTGACCCACTTATTAGATTGTAGCTTTATCTGAGATTACTAAATCATGTAAAAACATGCCACAAATAAACGTTTTTCAAAATGGACACTAATCATTGACTACTGCACTACTATTTTTGATTTTTTTCCTGCACACATCCTAATGTTTTAAATAAAAATAGACAATAGTTACAATACATATTTTTGTTGACCAGAATGCAATTGAATGATTCACCCACTAACGACTGATCCATTTATTTTCAAATAATTTTTAAATAGTATTGGTTGCTTTTTAATAATTCCAGGACAATTGTAATTTACTGACAATTCTATAAAAAGTGTCATTAAAGAAGACTGGTTCTTGGAATAGAAAGTACAACCAACAGTGTACTCAATGTATCATAGTTGCTTAGTCAAACTTTACTGTAACAGGAAAGAATGTAGAATAATCTTTTAAAAGTGTTTTGACCTTGTTGTGAGGTGAATAGAGTGTGATTGAGCAGACGAGCGGTCTCCTTGTTTATTTTCCCTCTCCGCTGCGGCCTCCTCCCTGACTATCAGCACCATCCTCTTCTGCCATATTAGTTATAAACTCGGTTTCACAAACCTCTTCTGTGTCCAGTGATACTCATTATACATATTGGATGGTATCGCCTTAAGGGCTCAAAGCTTCAGCAAAAACATGTCCTGCTAATGAGCCAAGTGTGATTGTGACGGCATCAGGTTTAATGTGTTCTTCACATAAACAGGCATTGACCCTGGCGTCCAGTGACTCACAGGCGGCATCCTGTCAGACATGTGGAGCTAATTGGAGGCTCGAAGTGTCTGTGCACATTCACACTGAAGTGTTTATGGTAGTCTCTGGCTCCAAAGCATTATAGACATGTCAAGATTTCCTATATCAGTGTTTGATTATTTTATTTAGAACACTTTTTTCATTCTTCATTTTCTTTTATTACAACTATTCTGTGACACAATTGTGGCTCTGTCTGTATTTTATGTGACTGATAAAAGGGCTATAGTGAGGAGACTGTGACGCAACATTGTGAAGGATTTCTTTGAAAACTAAAACGCAGGCAGTGAAAACTGTGAAATAAAAATGGAGCAAGGAATGTAAAAGTTTGTAATTTCATGTCAATAACTGGTATAAAGGCATCATGATTTTAACTCCCAGCCTGGAGGCACACTATGAAAACTATAGCTCTCTATCTATATATATAGCTTAAATACGACTACAATGAAGTCCTATAGGATTGTCAGTATGATCTTGATTTGCTGACTGGCACACGCAGCATGTGGATCATCTCATTCTACGTAAACATTGGTTTCACTGTTTGGTTACAGATGATCCCATTAACCTGTTATTTAGACCTCTCAAAAAAGCGTTTGGCTTGTAAAGACACAGGGGAGTGCAGCCGGACATGTTGTTTCCGTTGTACTTTTACGATGCAGAGAAGGCTGCTTTTTGAATGACCATTCTCTGGCTGCATTCAGCCATTGTTCTGTGTATTCTATTATAGCTGAAGCTTGGATATTACAGAGCTTTGAAGTTGGCACTGATGCAATGATTTGAATTGCAAGGATTTGATTATTTTCATTCACTTCTTGGCTTGGATTTTAGATTCTGAAATGACTGCAAGATAAAACTTTTGAATGTATTTTTATATTTTATATTATCTGTATGCTTGTCTGAATGTATGTATAATTCTAATATAGTCTAATCTAGATCTATTATCTAATTTAATTAGTCTAATTCTAATAAAGAAAACTTATTTTAAGTTGCTATGGATTTTAGATTAATACAATCAAATAAATGCAAAGTTTTATCTTGTATAAATGTTTTGTTTGTATTATATTCTGCTTATCTTTGAATGCGTTGCAAGATAAATACACATTTGTCAGGATGAAGGATGATGGACAATAAAGTTATTCTATTGTTTTTAGCGCTTCTCTTTGAACGTTGAAACTCATTGCAGTTGTCTTTTGCAGGTTGTTTCGAGTGCTGCATCAAGTGTCTAGGCGGCGTCCCTTACGCGTCCCTGGTGGCGACCATCCTGTGCTTCTCTGGAGTGGCTCTGTTCTGTGGCTGTGGACATGTGGCTCTGACCGGCACCGTCACCATCCTGGAAACTCACTTCTCCAAGGTCGCCTCAGACCACGCCATGCTCACCGACATGTAAGCCCCTTTGGTCCATCGTTTCAAATCAACCATGAAATGAAATGTTAGTTGAAAGTTTGATAATTGGCAAATACTAGTTGATAATAATAATAATAATGATTATAATACATAATGAGATATTATTCTTTATTATTATATGACTTGGACCGTACGCGCGTTCTGATTGGCTGAAAACCGGTCTGATATTTCATATTTTCCCATCTCGGACCGTTACCATGACAATTGGTCCGAACGGCGCGTATCACATTTGATATCTTTCCTCGGACCGTTACCATGATAATCTTTCCACAGCGCGTATCACACAAAACCAAGTCGGACATGAACATACTTCACAAATATCTCAAAAGCATTGCTAAAGACACAGACGAGAGTCATATAATAAAACATTTATTAACCTTGCTTGCTCGGTCTGTACAGAGAAATATCAGACCTTGGCCTTAATGTACAGACCTCGCCACGGCTCGGTCTGTACATTAAGGCCGCGGTCTGACATTTCTCCATACAGACCTCAACCTTGGTTAATAAGCTGTTAATATGCATGATATTTTTCTATATAAAAAATATTAACTATGCATTTGTTTTATACAGTGCTTTTCTGGGGCTTTAAGGACGCTTAGCATGGTATTATTAATTCACTCTGTACACTAGTGGCAAACAAATACTAAATCTACAGTTGCCGTGGGGCAGACCAATTGACCAATATAAATTTGGAACAGAATCAAGGCAACTAATCTGTGCCATCGCCCCCTTTGGCCACCACGAATCGTTCATTCAATTCAATTTATTTTTAAATAGCCCTAAATCACAACAGCAGTCATCTCGGGTGACTTTACAAAGTTGTCAATTCGGCAACAATAGATCAGAGAATCAAACAGTTTGAACACAGGAGATGCAATAATAACAAACACATAGAGCCATTGGTCCATAGGGAACTGGAACACCAATGTCCATAAATGGTGCTCCTCGAGGTCTCTCATCACTCACCTGTAAACATTTATTGCCAACTTTTTGTTCGTTTGGATATAATTTAAAACCATAATGTGGAAATATGGAAAACCAATGTGGAACACCAGCAGTTGATGGTAAATACATGTTTTTATTGTTTGATGAATCTTACCACAACTGACCAATATAAAATATTGGTGTACTAAAAATATAATTAAAGAGAAATCTTTTGTTCCATGTTGCATAATTGCAGGCTCCAAGTAATCCATGCTGTATATAGTACTGTAGTACTTTTTATACAGTTTATAAGAAGTCTCGTCTTGCTCCAAAAAAAAGATTGATAGTGCTTTTAACGTATTCCGTCTAAGCTGATAATGGTTTCCCTTATCATGGAAACAAGACCAAATATGGTGCTATTGTAAAAATGTGGATCGTGGTCCTCACAATTAAGGGCAATGACAGACACCAGCACATGCTCAGAGCTGGCTTCAGAGTGGAGGTATCCTGGGGGGCAGTCCGTCTCTGTCTGCCTGACCTCACGGAGCCTCACTTCAGAAAGACCCCAGCTGCTGGCTCCATCACAAACATCTGGGGATGATTTATCCTGTTATTTTAATGGAAAAGACACATTGATCCAATGTTTGGAGTCTGAATACTTTCCACATAAAAATGCAGATTCTTTCTTAATTTTATCTTGACATGTAGCACAAGTATAAAACTAGTGTGGTTTGAAAACACAACAAATAACTATGTAGTAAAATCCATGTAACTAATCTGAAAACAGGTTTGATCACCAGTTTTCACATGCATGTTTTTGGCCTCAGTCACATCTTAAGATCAACTTTTTCAGACAGAAAAGGGAAATCTCCAATCAGCTTTTAGTATATAAAAGATAAAATGTTCTCTTAGGAGATAAAGATAGGCTGTTGTGGTCTGATTTGTTCACGGATCTCTCTCTCTCTGTGGGCCTTCCTGAGGTTTCTCCCACTGGGTTTTTGAGTTTTTTTCTCGGCAATGCAAGAAGGTCTACGGTCAGTTATGATCCAGGACATTTATGGACATTGTTGTCTCTGCTCCCCTATGGACAAATGGCTCCTAGTTGCTTGACTCTCAAATCTGTTATTGGCAAATTCACAATAGTGTAAAGTCCTTCGAGAATTATATTCCTTTTGGGGCAAAGTGTTTATGAAACAATAAAGGTTCGGTACTCCAGCTTTGAATTAGTTTAGCAAAGTTATGTTTTAGATGACTCTTTATATCGCTGAATGACACACATGGCATAGAGTCCGGCCCCAGTGAGGAAATGTTGTAAAAGACATGCAGTTCACTAGTTTACATACACTTGCTTTTACTGCAATTTCTTAGGGAATGTGAATGCTTTAGCGGGAGCTCTGGTGTGTACTGTCTTCTCTGGCCGGTGCACACTGGGGTTGTCAGTTTTTCCAATGTGGTTTTTACTGCAAATTGCAAATGCATTCTTGAATCTTGAATTGAATTTGTAAGATTCCTAATAATAATCTTGTGACCAAAACTTGACAACAATAATAATCTAAGTTGACTTTGTCCCTTCTTGCCAACAGCATCCAGCTGATGCAGTATGTGATCTATGGCATCGCCTCCTTCTTCTTCCTGTACGGCATTATCCTGCTGGCCGAGGGCTTCTACACCACCAGCGCGGTTAAAGAGCTGCACAGCGAGTTCAAGACCACCATCTGCGGCCGCTGCATCAGTGGATTGGTATGTTAGCAAAGCCACCCTGCCATGTTGATCTTCACTCAACACGGATTAAAATAGCTTTTCATAAAACATGATTTGTGCCCGTCTGCTCAGTTCGTCTTCCTCACATACATTCTGGGCGTGGCCTGGCTCGGCGTCTTTGGCTTCTCTGCCGTGCCGGTCTTCCTCTTCTACAACATGTGGTACACCTGCAACACCATGAAGTCCCCTATGGCCAACCTCACCAGCATCGACGCCATCTGTGTGGACGTCCGGCAGTACGGTAAGAATACTGCAGAACTTTCCCATATGCGCATTGGTACCAAAAAAACCCAAACATTTACAATACATTCTGGTACACTAGCATCACAATGTATACGTGTGTTTGATAGTATCCAGATGGTGTCCTTGCGGAGCCCATGTTAAGAAATTATTCACATGAGCCAAAGTGTTCAATAAAAGTCATTTGTGGTTTCATAAGACGTTACCAGTGACTGTTCTTAATTAGTTTCATTTTGGTTTGGCTGGATGTATACAGTTGTTATGTAGAGTTACATTTGACTCTTGAAGCTATATGGGATATGGAGAGCTGCATCTTGAAGATTTACAGTTGATTGAAACAAATGATTATATTATTTTTGCGCAGGTATTATTCCATGGAATGCCACACCAGGGAAGGCCTGTGGATCTACACTAGGAGACATCTGCAACTCGAGCGAGGTAATACTTCATAAATATCTACCAAACAACTACAGCAATAAGTAATGGTCCTTTTAACTCAAGTATCTGTTTTCCCTCTCTCATAGTTCTATCTGTCCTATCACTTGTACATTGTCGCCTGTGCTGGAGCAGGTGCCACTGTTATTGCTCTGGTAAGTGGGCGACACACAGTATCTCAAGTACAGCAATTCACTGCATTCATTCTGTCAAGGTCTTGTCTAAATCAGTGGCTGCCAAAATCTTGAACGCTGCGACACCCTTATCAATCGAATGTTCCCTCAGGGCCCTCATTATCAGAGTACATTAGCTATACATATAAAGTTAACTCATAATTTAAGAATTAAAATGTAGCAATTGTCATAATTTTTAGAACTTAAGGGGGGCCCTCTAGTGCAATTGAGGCCCCCCCAGAGGGCCCAGACCACACTTTGAGAAGGACTGGTCTAATTTGAATATGAAACTATATGGCAAGCTAGTAAGTAAGTAAGTAAGTAAGTAATGTTTATTTATATACCGCCTTTCACAGACCAGAGTCACAAAGCGGTTTACAATTGTTATTATTCTTGGGCACTTGTCCACTCACTCCACACAGAGATGGGAGCGGGGTCGCCGAACAGGAGGCGCATGCCAGAACTATTGTACATATTTTTAGTGGTAGGGGAAACCGGAGTACCCGGAGGAAACCTACGCAGACACGGGGAGAACATGCAAACTCCACTCAGAAAGGCCCTGGTCCGACCGGGATTCGAACCCAGGACCTTCTTGCTGAGAGACGAGAGTGCTATCCACTCTGCCACCGTGCCGCCCAAACTAGCTAAACAAACATAATTTATTTGCCAGAGTAATAAACCTGCATTTGAGCCAAATATCTTGAATCCCTCCAGTTTCTTATTGTAGGATTTGTGTTCAAAAGAAGTGTTTATACATGCTTGATTATTGTCTTCTTACTGCATGTGACTGCTGTAAACTGCCTTGAATAACTTGTCACATGACCAGTGAGCAGGAAGTGGGCGGCATGTTCACTCACCAAACCTCTCTGTTCTCTTCCACCAGCTGATCTACATGATGGCTACCACTTATAACTTTGCTGTTTTGAAGTTTAAGAGTCGAGAAGATTGCTGCACTAAGTTTTAAACAGTGCTCCATATATTTCAAAGCTGTACTGATTAGTCACTGACAACATTTGAACTAAAACAAAAATCAGAATAGGAAATAATAGTAAATACAATTTGTAAATAGCTCATTCTATGCATTCTTTAGCGTCTGAGGAGTGGCTTTAGAATGAGTTTGTTCTGCTCCTGCTACAGGACTTGAGGAGACTGGTAGAGTTGCATCAGCATGAGTCCACTGTAAATTAGATTAATTACTGCAGTAAACCAAGTCCTGAATTTAAATTCATTTTACACAATAGTAAACTTGTGATTTGTAATAATGACTACAAATCAAAAATGTTTTATGACAAGTTCTGCAAACTGTTGAGTAATCATGCCATGAAGTGTTATACAACTGATTCAACACCAGTACAACACCAGTATTGTTATAATTTTCTTTTTTATATAATTATGATATTGCATCAATGAGTATTATAAACCGTATCTGTATTATAGGATGCACAAATGGCAGGTTTAGGCCAGCACTCAAGGCATCTCAAGAAGGGAGGCCATAAGCCTCCCTTCTTTCCATGAATTATAATGACATTCTTTTAGATAAAGTAAATGAGTGCGGATGCTGACAAGCCTCAACTAAGAAGTCTGTTTTTTATATTCCTTTTTGCCACAAAAGAGCCATTTGTTTTTTTTCTTAACACTGAGCCTGCATGCTTAATATTCCAGATGCTTTGATGTGTTTAGGTCTTATGCTCAATTTTTCATATATTTAATTTTCCCCTTAATTTTGGACTGTAGCTATTACTTTCGATACAAAATAAACAATCTTTGTTTACAAATACTTCTCACTTGGTTGATTTATTTCCCACAGGATCTGACACGAGTCTTTAACGTTGCACTAATCTTTGACGCTTGCATGTAACGTCTTTGCTCTTCTGCTTCATACCCCAATAACCAACATTTTCTTTTTTATACAGTATACGTGTTATTTATACATCATAACTCCAATATTTGTAATGGAAGTTTTTTGTCTGAGATTACATTGGCCATTCCATAATAATGTATATTTAATGATTTGCAGCAGTCTCAAAACATGGATACTGAAAATATATGTTTGATGGGATAAATAGGTCATATTCTATTGCCCTTCTTTAATATTCTTTAACTGCTCCATTCAAAAACCTTCCATTCAGCCCTTGCACTGTAACCCTTCCAAAGTGTATGGACTTGTCTAATATGTGTAGCTCTGACCTCTTGCTTTGCACCTCTGACATGCTCACCGCCATCCGCCTTCACCCTCTCTTCCAGATCCACTTCCTCATGATTCTCTCTGCAAACTGGGCCTACCTTAAGGACGCCAGTCACATGCATGCCTACCAAGACATCAAACTGAAGGAGGAGCGCGAGCTGCAGGACATCACCTCACGCTCCAAGGAATGTCTCAATTCCTACACATAAGGATATTACACACCCAGTCACACTTCACACACACACAATGAGTCACTGAAGGCCCAGGATGGTGGCCTGTTTGGTCCAATGTTCAGCTGAATTACCTGCCTGTAGCCTGACACGTCACTAATCAGACTTCTAACAAACTAATGCTTTCTGCACTAACACACTCACACACAGGTGAGACTGTGAGATATTTGCTATTTGTTCTATCCATTTTCATATTTTCTGATTTTCATTTTGTAAATTTTTTAAATTATGAAATCGATGGTGAAGCAGGTATTATTAAAACAATATTTCATAATCATTGCTTGAAAAAAAAAAATAATCAGCCTTATAGTGGTACAAGGTCAACAGGATTTTGATTGTAGCAGTATCAAACTAAAAACACACTTATTTTAAGGCTTTAAAACATGTTCCTGTGGCCTGAAAAATCACTACCTCAGGTGTATCCTCGAGCCTATGATACCTTTAAACCAGTAGATTACGCATCTATTTTGGAACTGCGAAGTGGACGGAGCAAGTAAAATTCCCACTAGGGATCTTGGAAAATTATTCTTGTAACAGGTTGAAAATGTGTTCAGGGGTGATCAGCTCTCTGGTGAGTAATGATCACAAGAGCCAGGTTAATATAACGTAGCATTAAAAAAATGGCCAAAGCCCCACACTGTAAAGTAGTCAAAAGAGGGAAACTAGTTATCTGTTGTCTTTTCAAAGAGTACAAATAATCTGTTGTGTGATTATTTGTACTCCTATAGGGATTTTAAGAGGTGGATTTTATATCTGAAAAACTTGGTCCCGCCCTCTTCACAGTTCCATACTGAGCCGATGAATAGGGACATGGGCTGGTTAAACATGTATAGCATTTTTTTTCATGTCTGAAGTAATCATAGTTATGTAGGTTTTGTGACATTAATTACTTTTCTTTGGTACTATAAACGGTACAATAACATTTAGTCTTTTTCTTGTACAGTTTTGTTTTCTAAATAAAAACATTGGTTTATGATGCCATGTAAAACGATTGTATTATAAGTAGAGAAATTAAAGTAAAGAAAGTTTCCCCTACAGCCTTAAGACTAGACTCGCTTCTGTTCTATACAATGCTTTCCCTTTTTTGCCCCATTGTGTAATGAAAACTTGAGGATTTTGGCATCTGGTTAAATGATAACCAAATGTTATATGGCTGTAATAAGCACAACGGCCATTGACTACGACATTTGTTATAAAGCCTGTCTACCATTTTGTATAAAAAAAATAAAATATATATTAAAAATGTTGTGTCCATTTATTCTTCAAAGCATGAAATAGCATCCACATTCAATATAAACTCATACAATTAAAAAAAATACATGCACAAATATAAAAAACAAACAAATGGGCTCTAATACACATCTACCAGAAATCATCGTCTTCATCCTTGTGAGAGAATCCTGCAATGCTACAAAAAAATACAAATATTTACAGGAATTCACACTTCTAGTAAAACAACCGAATGTTCTCCATAAAACTGATTTCAGTCAAACAAGCCGCTTTTACCTTTCATCTTTCTCCTCTGATACACTTTTGTCTTCGAAGCTAAAGGGCTTGGCTTCTTGTTCCAAAGTCTAACAAAAAGGCAAAAAGCACAATGTTACTTATGAATGAGGTCAAAGGCATTTTTTGAAGTACTTGTAACATTTCTCACCGCCTGCGGCTGCTTTTGTCTGGCTTCCAGCACGATCTTCATGTATTTCTCTAAAGGATTCTCTTCATCTTTCGACTTTTTCCCATCATCCTTTGCTTCCTCCTCTTGTCTCTGGTCATTTTCTGCCTCCTCCTCCTGCGTTGCTTGGTCTTCTCCTTCCAACAACTGACAAACAAAATATTTCTCGTAAATCTGAGACTGACTGATTCTACCGTATGTGAAAATGAAATTACATATTCTTTCTCCAGTCGATCCAGCTCGTGCAGCTCCCTCTCTCGGGCCTCTTCTTGCTCTCTCAGTCTTCGTTCTTGCCTTTCTTTTCTTTCCTTTTCCCATTTCTCCTCATCCTCCTGCTGCTGCTGCTGCTGGTGCTGTTTCTCCAGATCGGCTACTGATGATTTGCGAGACGATGGCAAATCTAAAATAAGTATGGCCATGGTTAAGCGGGGGGAAAAACTCCAGTGGGAACAAATAAATACAAATCTATAAGGCTTTTCCAACCATGACTCACTCTGGACTTGCCTAATAAAAGCAAAAAGAAAGGGATGGGGAAAAGATCTAACAAATGGACATGAGTTTATCTTGTGGTTCGTCTTATAATAAATCAAGCCATTTTATTGCAAAAGCTCCACAAATTATATTTTGACCTAAATCCATTCCATACAACAGGAATTCTGAAATGCTTTGAGACTTACTCCCCCATGCAAACAGGTGGGTATACCATATTTAAGATTTGATTTGATTTCCGGTATCTTTTATATTAGTGGTGCAGCTTATAGCTTTGCATATCATAAGAAGTGTAAGTATTTGCATCATTGTTGGATCTTTTTTTTTTTAACAAGCTTGTGGCACACCTACCACTGTCCTGGGACTCTTTGACAACCTCTGCAATAAGATCACCCTTCATTTTCAATCGTCTTTTATAATAGAATCTATACGGCATGCTTATATGAAAACAGTATTTAATTGATTTTAATTGAATACGATTTGGGTTGTGGATAGAGACATAACTCTGGCTTCCATGGCTCACCCTGGGCACATGCAGGCTCTTGCTGAAGACGTGGTGGACTCTGTAGGCGAGGGACAGTGGGGCCTTCTGGGACGCCAGTGTCCGGGAGAAGCTCTGGAATGTGGCTCTGCTCTGGAGGGAGACGGGCACAAAGAGCTTTTATGCCGGACCATAATGCACCAGGGCTAGAAGAGCGCCACAGAATACATAATCAGCGGCCCTTCATCTTCACCATTGTGTGAGTCCACTGAAAGGACACTTTGGAGGCCAGTCACACACTCATTAAAAAGCAAACGGGCCTGAAAACTCTGAGAATTACCTTTTGATTTAGTAATATTACACATATATATTATGTAAGAAGCACTATGGTTGACAAAAAAACATTTTAAATTATGTTTGAATTATCCATAACTTTCTCACATAACTCTCTCATTAAACATGGAGTAAAATCCATCTAACTATCTCCTCACACTTAATATGATTTGGTTCTATGAGATGTATTTAATTTTATAATAAAATTAAGTCAGGATAATGTGGTTCACAAAGTTCTACTTTTACAAAACTTTCTGTTGGGACAAACAACATTTGTAACAGTTTAGTACCCATGCTTTAAATGTATCCAGTTTAAATAATAATAATAGAAATGGCTGCTTTGCGATGCCACATCATATCATACAGTATGTGTCTCTAAACGGTTAATGATTTGAAAGCACTAAACTACCTGGCAGCAGCTCAGTGAGATCTTCCAAACTGATCTTCTCAGGCTGAGGAGAGGACTCTGCGCTGGAGAAGGCAGGCTTTAGCTGTGGTGGGCTGGAGCAGAAAACACATTGATTAGTCCCCAACATCAAAGTATGTGAATTTTTACCGAATATCACCACATAATAAACTATATAAAGGGACCTGATTGTGCCTCGTGCTGTGCTCCTGAGCTGAGGGGGGCTGAGTTCAGAGACAGAGTCATCAGAAGGAACAGCTTTATGGCAAGAGCGCTGCATGATCTCTGCTTCTGCTGTCAGTGATCTTGCTATAATGATTGAAAAAACATTAGATTTAGTATATTGGTTTTGGTCCTTATGTGCTTATAATGCACGAAACGTGGATGTGTTTATATTACCCTCTGTTACTTTCCAACTTGCATTTCTTGAGGGCAATTCTTGAGGGGATGTAAGTCTGGCCGGTGTGGGGCTCTCATCCTCAAAGCATTGGTTTCTTTCAAATATGAGCTCAGTTAGAGGATGTACCCCATGAGCAGCTGTAATCCCCAAAGACGGTGTCTCGACATGGCTTCCAAAAACCGTTACTTTAGGTTGACTTTCAGAAAGGTTTCTGGTGTCACGTGAAATTAGAGGGGGGGTCCTGCTGGCTTTAGGAGAGAGCAGCCTGTGTCTCCTCAGAGGGGAGTCAGGGCGATGACTGGAATACTGTGGCGAAAGCCTGTTGGAGATGTTGGACACCACTGCCCTCTGCTGGTAGTTTCTATAAGCTTCTTCAATAGTCTCTGCTTCTCTCTGTAACTCCTGCATTCGAGCTTTGGCATCAGCAATAATGTCCATGTCAGAGTCCAAGGTGTCAGCCCACGAGTGTTTGTGCAAAGATCCATCTGCTTTGGACAAATCATAAGACGGCCCAGCCTTCAGTACGGTTCTGTCCACATAGATGTCAGGAGGAACCAGGTTATCAGTGCAGCTCTCCAGAATGGAGCGATCAACAAGAGAAGGCTTGGGGTTACGCAGTACTTCATTTTCAAGAGCTGCGATTTGGGGAGATTGTAGAGAAAGAAGGAAAAAAAGAGGAAGGATGAACACTATACAGACACTACAACCAACCACCATAAGAATAAAAGGACAATAGACAGGGCTATTGTCCTTTTAATTCCACAATCAAGTAACTCTTGATAGTGTCATTTCATGCAAAAGAGGCAACCACAATAACTTATTCTAGGTGCACTACTCCATGCAAAATGCTTTAGGAAAATTTAAATAACAAATGACCAATAAAGCCCTACAATTCTACATATAATATAATAGTATAGAATTTCAGTGAGTGTATATGTATTGTGAACCTAATACTATCTAATATAGAAAAAATATTCTAATTCAGGTGATTTATCTTATTCAAGACATTTATAGCACACAATCATAATGGCATCACTGATAAGGCATAACATTCATTCATTCATTCATTCATCACAATAAGGCGTGCTACCTTGCTGGGTTTGTCGCAGTTGTATCTGGATGTTGTCCACATGGTTGTTCATCCACTTGGACCTCTCCTCAGACTCCATCAGCTGTGCCCTGAGCTGAGCACCGTGCTCCACCTGTGTACACAGACGTGCAATGACTCACATTTTTAACATGTAGCAGCAGTTCTTCAAGGCAGATAAAGAACAGATACCAGATATAAAAAATATATGAGCCATCACAGAAGTTAGCTCACGGAATGGTTTTCCCACAGTCAGACATACTGAAGAGACTGACCTCACGCTGGAGTTGAGCCTGCAACACCTGTTTCTGTTTGTTTGAGTCTTCCTCAGCCTGTCTTTGAGCGCTCTGGAGCAGCTGCAAATCTGTGGACAAAACCAGATCACATTCAATCAATAGGGCGTACGTGAAGTGAAATCATTTTTGTGCTGTTAATCTCAAGCAACAATATTTTTTCCTTGGTCATAATGTTACTTTTTATTTTTATTTTGAGTGAAAGGAAGAAGCTTAAGAAGGTTTTCAATATTTTTGATATTCATTTTTTATCCAATTAAATAAATGAATACAGTCATTTAATAAGCAACTTTTCAAAATGCAACATAGCCCAGAGAGCCAAGGGAGAAAAAGTATAACCACTGCACAAAGCAGTGAGTAGACAAACACAATGGTGATACAACAGAAATGGAGATGGTCGTCAGTTATGGCATGATGAGGGTCTTACCCGCACGGAGAAGGCCATTCTGCTCCAGCGCCTCCTCCAGCCGTTTGCTCTGAAGTTGTAGCTCGACCTGAAGCTCCACTCGCTCTGACTTAAGGCTTGTGTAGTCACTCATAGTTTCAAGCTTCTCCTTAAGTAACTCCCTTTGTTCCGTCAGAATAGACTGCTGTTGCTGTGCCATATTTAACTCGATCTGTTCAGAGATCGAGATTATATTAGGACCACTTTACCATTGCCCAGTACTCTAAGTATACCATTAACATTTTATTTTTATTTTTACATTTTACACATTTTGTACTCTACTAATATTGTTGTTATTTTCTCTGTCATTACCCTGTTTTGCAATCTATTTGTGAATTTCTTTTTTAATAATATTAAATCAATGACTCTTCTGGCCCCTGGAAAAGCCATGTTCCAGCTTCTTTCCTCTAGCAGAAGATTTTGCTCGCTGAGATGCAGGATATCTTGTTTTGATAACAGCTTGTGGAAAGAAGATGTTATCAGTTTAAACAAGGCACTTTAAATGATCTTGCCTTTGTATTTAAACTGTTTTAGTTGATTGATTTCACAGTGTAAATTGTGTTTTATTTCTGTGCTTGTCTTGTGCACACTGGGAACTTTTGCAGATGTTTTCCAATATGGTTTTACTGCAAATGGCAAAAAAAAAAAAGAATCTGAACCGCATTTCATTTTCTCTTTGGGGCTGCGGCCCCTGAGGAGAGTGTCTGGTACAGCTCTGGCCCTCTGTCAAATATAGTGGATGACCCCTGCTCTAAGTAGAGCTTATTCACTATGTTAGAACTGCACTATGTCTAGTATGTCTAGCATTGTGTTATTGATCATATAGAAACCCATTTAACTGCATTCCATGATTTTATGACAAAAGATCATTTGTGCTTGTAAGTAAGTAAGTAAGTAAGTAAGCTTTATTTATATACCGCCTTTCACAGACCAGAGTCACAAAGCGGTTTACAATTGTTATTTTTTGGGCACTTGTTCTCTCACTCCACACAGAGATGGGAGCGGGGTCGCCGAACAGGAGGCGCATACCAGACCTATTGTACATATTTTTAGTGGTAGGGGAAACCGGAGTACCCGGAGGAAACCTACGCAGACACAGGGAGAACATGCAAACTCCACTCAGAAAGGCCCTGGTCCGGCCGGGATTCGAACCCAGGACCTTCTAATTCATGTGTCGTGCTAATTGCAGTACATCATTTTAATTCAAAATAAAACAATTTGATTCACCTTTAGCTGTTTTATCTCGGAATATAGTCCAATGTGCTCTCCCAATTTGGCTTCCAGCTCAGCTGACTCCTTTAAAAGACGATCTGTTTCCACTATGTAGAGGGAAAAAACATTAGGATAAAAGTCATTCATGACCACAAACAGCACTGAATGATTTAATACACACATTTATTTCGTGTCTCATTTTCAGTCAATTCTTTGGTTCTATTAATGAAATCTTCCTTAAGTTCAAGTTCATACCTGATAAATAAAAAAAAGCAAGACAGTTAAAAAACAACATATTTTTCTCTTGTAAAATACTAAAATTATACACAACACCTCTCAAGTTCATTTCTGAGCCTCAGGTCATGTGTGTCCTCTAAGGTCTTCACAGCCACTTCCCTTCTCCTCAGCAACTCTACTGTTGTCTTCACCTTTTCTTCATGAATCTGACAACTTCTGTGAAAGACACAAAGATAATTGTTTTAGTCAGAACCTCTCCGTATAGGAGCTTATTGTCCCACGGCTTGTCTAGGACTTACTTTTCAAAAGCCTCAACTTTTATTCTGAACTCACTTTCCCTGTTACGCACAGTTTCGATTTCCTTGAGTACTTCCTGTCGTTGCATGTATAGATTTTTTTCTTCAATCTATAACAAGATTGTATTGTTACGCCATTAGAACATTAGGGAAAATTGGTACAATGTTAATTGTACTTCACCTCTTGTTGTTTTTGTAGCCGGGCCATGTTGTTTTTGTCACGTTCCATCAGAGCTTTTGTTTTCATTTCAAATGTTTCCTCCAATGCCTGTTTGACCTTTAAAAACTCCTTGTTAAATTTGGCTTTTTCTTCCATCTGCACTTTAGCCAGTTCAACATCTTTGAAGTGCTGCAACTATGAAGCCGGACATCAGAATAAAAGTTTTTTTTAAAAATTACCAGTATTTAAATGATCTATTTAATTAATTACACTATGATATAAAAATAGTTGACACCTTTATTTTCATTTCAGTTTGTAATCGCTCTTCGATTTCTTTTTTACAAGATTCCAACTTAGATTGTAAAGTGAAAAATCGATCCCCTCTGCAACTATGACCATCATATTGCTTATCGATCATGTTCATCTTTTCAACTGGGAATATAAAGAAAGTTAAAATACCAGCACAGAATATGACGTTAATTTAAAATGCATCAAGAGGAAAACCTAGTGATTCTCCATAGCTTGACATGATGTTTGTCTGAGTGACCACATCATGGCCTTGTTCATCTATCGGACATTGGCTAAAGTGCAAAAGGAGACTCATCAGGAAACCTAAGGGAACAGGTACAAGAAAGTGTAAAGAAAAGCGGCTAGCCGTATACAATAAATTCAATATTTCTTACTTTTATCAGAATTGTCTTTAGCCATCTGAAAAAAAAACAAGAACGTAGAATTATAATATGTTGTACTAATGTATAACATTATATTAAAAGCAGACTTTAGCGTACCAGTGTTCTGTACAAAGATGACTCTGGAGCAATTTTCACAAGCTGGAGATGATCTTGTTTTGTTAGCATCTATAAAGTCGTGATAACATATTCATGAGTGACAGAAATTTACAAGAGTACGAGTATGATCTGATAGAATTACAGAGTTGAACTCACCTTGTCATTGCTCAGACCACATTCTGGTTTAAACACAGATAAACTGTACTCGTATCCTAAACTTTGAAGGTAATCCGCCACTATGCTGTTGCAGGCAGCGACCAAAGCAGAATCATAATGTACTGATGCTGGTGCCTTGCCCTGTGCCAATGGAGGGTGCTTTAATTCCTGGATCAGCTGATTCCTCAGTTGTGTCTAAAGTAAAAGTATGGTTAACTACACGTTACAACAGCACAGACAAAACAAACGGAGTGACTAAAAAATGTAACTCACTTTAAGTGTATCAAGCAGTCCTTTGCTTTTAAATGTTTGATAAAGTCTCTTTCTAAGTTCTTCTGGTGACAGCACTTCTTCTCTCGACGCAGACATGACTGCTAAAGTTAACGACTTGTAAATATGGAAATGCTGTCCGCTTCTTATGTCAGGAGGTCCATTCAGGTTCGTAGGGTTATCCAATTTGAAGAAATCATAACTGATATAAATATTATATTGATATTGCTTAAGTATTTTTATAAACAGATAAGCTTCAGTTGCCGCAAACAAAACCCTTGGCGACAATTCAAATGTTGGGCATTTAGTGATGACGTACCATTGTTTTGGATTATTATTAACCAACATCGCATCACATATTTTATTTTATAAAAACAAGGGGGCGTAATGTAATCAATGCACACTAATCCATATGTGATTTTATTGCTTTAGAAATTTTAACAAAATCAATCAAAGCGCACAAATTTAAAATCATGTGACCTGTCTTTTGACGTCATATTTTTGCGACCACGTAGCATTTCTCAAGGAACCAATTTTCAGGTAAAAAAAAAGTGGTTAAATGCTACATTAACGGGATTAAATTTGGCCTTAACATTTTGATTCAACATAATCATATACGCAGGAATAATCCAAGGGGTTTATCTAGTGGTTTTGTGACAATAAATCCACCGATAGCTTAGCTGTTAGCTAAGCGTCTCGCAATTATTCCTTTCTTTCTTTAATATGATTTTGTCTTTCTAGATAAAGCTCAGCATAAGTGGATAAAGAATGTCTGGGAGTTTTTATTTTGTCATGGTTGGACATCATGACAACCCTGTGTTTGAGATGGAATTCCTGCCAGCCGGGAAGCCGGAGTCAAAGGTATCAGCTTCATAATAATGTGTTTTGTTTTATTCCAACGTTGATTTGCCCTTGTGTTACATACGTAACGATGTAAACATACGATAACTGCATTGCTCGCTGTTACTTATGTCAAAGTCTCAGAAGCAAAAAGATTCTGTCTTCTGAACATCTTATGCTAACATGTGAATGCAACGCCTGCTTTCAGGACGACCATCGGCACCTGAACCAGTTTATTGCACACGCTGCTCTGGATTTAGTGGATGAAAATATGTGGCTTTCCAATAACATGTACTTAAAAACTGTGGACAAATTCAATGAGTGGTTCGTGTCTGCATTTGTCACTGCTGGACATATCCTTTTGAAACGATAGATATCTATATTATTAGATGTATGAATTCACAGGACCTGATTGGCTTTAACTTATCATACATGTAAGATTCATCATGCTCCATGATGTAAGACAAGAAGATGGAATCAAGAATTTTTTTAATGACGTATATGACATGTATATTAAGGTAAGACTTTATTTTACAATTGTTTTAAAGTGTTCTAATTTTTATTTTATTTTATTAGTTTGCCATGAATCCCTTTTATGAAATCAATGCACCAATTCGTTCAACGGCCTTTGAAAGAAAAGTGCAATTTCTTGGAAAGAAACATCTTCTGAGCTGAGCCATAGCTTCATTAAGCTACAGGTATCCAAGACATATGTCCTTTGTGTACCATCGACCGTGTTGGAACTATTTCAAATCCTTTTTGTATTTATTGTAAAATCATTGCCATTGATTTAATTTTGCATATGGTATATCTTTATCTATTGGTTAAACCTATAAATAAAACAACTTCAAAGTAAATGTTTCCTGTGATATTTATTGTTCTGGACCAATACATCCATGTTCTGGACACATACATTGAAAATGTTAAATACATGTTAGGATTCAATTCTGTTAAAGTTTGGTTGGTTAAAATGTGTATTCAACCTAAAAATAGGCCAACATTTTTCTAAGCAAAAACATTATACTAAATAATTTCATACGTTTACCATGCAAGCATTACACATCTCTTTAAATGCCATCAGATTTCAAATGAGATGGTATTTATAGACAATCTTATGGTGCAATCATTACAAACCTTGATTTGTTCATTTTATATGTTCATTTTATATGTTGGTCTTAGTGTAATCACTGAATTTTATGAATATGCTTTGAATATATACGTTTGTAAAGGCTAGGGATATACACACGACGCAACAATGCAGGTATAAAAGTGATTAGCAATGGAATTATTACAAATTTAGTGTTATGTTGACCAAGTTTATTATAGCACGTGATTAGCGTTTCATGTATTGTCATTTAGGCAAAAGCTTTTCTAGAGTTTGTTACAGTTTTTGCAATCACATACCAGTAACACAATTTCTTTCTGTAGAGCACAGTAACCCTGGGATTCCCATATTTCATAAATCTTTGCATTTCAAATCATAAAGTGAAGAGTGTTGATCTTGTGCACATTATGAACAGCAAGTGGCAGCAGAGCGAGGCTTTCTGTGAAGCTTGACAGTATCTGAAGGAATAAGGTGGTCTGTGCGTTCCTCCATTGCCAATACCCGCCGTACTGCCTCTTCAAACGCTATAGCGACATTTGTGGCATCCTTGGCACTAGTCTCATAATAAGGGAAGTCACCATTCTCCTGGCACCATTGCTGTGCCTCTTCAGTGGACACTTGTCTCTCCGTCACATCGACTTTGTTTCCCAAAACCACAAATGGAAACTTCTCTGGTTCCTTGACATCAGCGTAATAAATGAACTCCTTCTTCCAATTGCACAAATTAAGAAAACTCTGGTTGTCATCTACACTAAAAGTGAGCAGACAACAATCAGAGCCTCGGTAGAATGGAGTTCTTAAACTTCGAAAGCGTTCTTGACCTGCAGTATCCCAGATCTGCAGGGTTACCTGGTGGCCGTCAACCTCCAAATCCTTGTTGAGGAATTCAACTCCAATAGTGTGAAAAAGATGGGCATCAAATTTATTGGTGACATATCGATTCATGATGGAGCTCTTCCCAACACCACCATCACCAAGAAGGATGACTTTTAACAGGGATGTTTTGGATGTCATGGCGTTTCTCTTTCTGCAACTTCCCACTGATTATTTTCTATTGGGAGTAAAATGAAAAAAAAAAAAAGTTTATTACAATATGCATATTCAATTAAAATGTTCAAAGCACACTTATATGTGTAATTTTACCAGAGATTACAAATTCAGCTTGTCATGTATTAAAGACTTCCTTTCGGTCACATGGTAATTGTTATCATGTTGAAGAGTGCAGTCTTGTAGCTTAATATTTAATCAGCTGAAACAAAATAACAGAGCAAAACCTTACAGTATACCAAAGAACAAATAAGTCATTTATCTTGGCTACATCAAGGTATACACAGTGAAATGCATATGTTCTATATAACGAATGAGAATTGATGTTATGAATTTCAGAGGTTGTAGTTATAAGACAACTAGCTAATTGTATCATCAAATGTAGCAAAAACAGTCGCAGGATAGTCCAAGAAATGGGTTCTGTCTAGCAGCTGCCAAAATCCTATCATTTAGCGTTGGATAATAACACTAGAATTACGGAGCTTTATCGACTAGCCTCTTTAAGCGAACACAAAAAGACAGATCATAAGCATGAGCTGATATGATGCAACTTGCCTACTATTAACGCTAGCTTACCGTCTTCGTTAAACACTAGCTTCCAGTCGACGAACAAAACTACAACGTATGAAAACACTTGAGCTGTAATACAAGACAGCGTACAACTCTTCCGTTTCCTCTAGAATCCTAAACTCACTGCACAAAGCAGTTAGCACACCAAGCTAACGATGGCTACACGCTGAATGACAGACCCTATCACGTGATCATCCAGCTGGGCGTACGCAAAGGAACCATGGAGCTCGGAACGTACTCGCCGCTGAAATGTATTAAGCTACTTGGTGTTTTCTTAAATATGAATTTATTTCACCTTAAAATAATAAATAATGACACGACTAAGGAATAGAAGCACACTTAATTCCAACATGTTATAAATACGCTGTAATGTTCAAGATGACCACAAGATGTCGCTCCCTCCTGCCGTTGATGGATGCTCAGTTATGGGGGTCACACATGGATCTATTATATTAACGGGGTCACAGTCTTTACAGTCTATGGTTGGACCGTAAGGTTGGACACATGGATCTATAATAATATCGGACCATGGATAGATCTCGGACACTCAGGACACCAGCGTTCCATCGGTTTCATTGTAAACTATTGGTAAATCAAACTATAGAGCACATTTTTGTTAATTGGGCACATGAGATTAAACAAAACAATATTGCTAACATTATTGTTAAATGTTCACGTAGCCAATTTTTTTAGCATGGTCTTAACAAGTTACTCAAAATGTAGAAAAAAGATGTGTATTTTATTGTTGTACATTACCCAGCAACATTTATAGCATATCGTTCTATTACAACAGACAATGTTCTGCTACAGGTCAAATGCAAACTAACAACAGCATGATGTTTATGTGGCTAACTCACTTCTGTGCATAGCAACACACGTCTTAATTAAGTAAAAATGTGACACATTTTGAGTTCTGTTCAAATCGAAAAACAAAACAAAGTTAAAACTTAAAACATTGATTTTTTTAAAGGCCTATAGTCTGGTGCAGTTTGGGGCTTGTCCAGTTCAGAGTAGAACATTGAGGTGAAATGAAATAGAAAATTATGACATAGCATTTTGTAACCAACAATAACTCGTTTTTAAAAGTCAGGGCTGGTATCATCTTGGCATGGGCCTGAAGACAACACAACATTATCAAGTCCAATCTCTCCACCAACGCCGACTCCCCGTTGAGCTTCAAAGATGATCTGGCAAGAGTAAGTGCTGTGTTATTAATGATTATATCTTGTTATACATTAGGTTAGGTTATACTGTATACACAAAAATACAACATTATGATCATAAATCTTAAAATGGCCTAGGTTTTACTTTCCTATTGTACACATATTCCACCATCATATCTCTCAGCTTGTTATTGTGTTTTACCGTTTCAGGTGCCTTCTCTTTCCAGGCAACAGTGAGAAACTCTGTCTGCCAGGCTTGGCTCTGGCTTTGGCTCTGCTCCCAGATTGGATAAACATTGTTATCCAGCAGGACTTGAAGGGTGCCAATATTATGGCCCATGACCCGGAAGTCAAAGGTGAGACAGAAGCTTCCCTGTTGAGCCCGGTCACTCAGAAGCAACTTGAGTTTAGCTACGTCCTTCTGCTCCCCCAGGAATCCACTCATGGACATGTAGTACTCAGCTCCTTAAGAGATCATAAGTTACTATTTGAACTATTTTGCTACTCTGTGATAATATAAACATGTTACCGTTATCATGATATGCAACGCTCCAGTCTATGTCATCAGCCTTGTCCTGGACCCACTCACATGCTCCCTGATCGAAGTTACAATCCATGATAAACTCTATGGAGGAAAAATACTTCATCATCATTCTTAAAGATTTTTCTCACATTAAGAACTATATTTATGTCTCTTACCTTCCAGAACTGGAGCTATCTCAATCTCTTTTACCTCTGTAGTGGGACGAAATACTGATTCAAAGTCCTCTGAAACTGTTTGTTAAAAATAGTCATTGAGAATACTCTTCAATGCAATACATAATATACGTTTTGAAAATGATCATTTCAGCTGAAAACAATTCCTACTGATAATGTGTGGTTTATATACATAGGGAAAATCTCTTCTATGCACAGAAACAAAACAGTGCTTTTGGCCAGCAGGTGTAGACCTGCCCTGCTGTCACTCATGTATTCAGAGAGATCTAAAAGTTGAGGATGTAGCCCCTGCAGCGCTTAAATACTGTTGGAATAACCCTTCCCCCTAGTAAGAGTCACACAAGTGACAGCTGGGGCTATTGAACCTTCACAGCCGCACAGGCCTAGTGTTTTAGAGAAGCTGGAGGACTGATGAAAGACCTTCTTTCTGGAGACAAGTCTGTTTGCACAACAGCTGTTTTGGGAAATGTAATAAAAGGCCTGCAAAAGCTCCTCTCGAGAGATGTAGCTGGCCCAGCTACATCTTGAGATGTATCTATAAGCTCACTGTAAGAAATTCTTGCTATCGGCATTCCTGCTATTAGCATGCAGATTCAGGTGTTTAATTTAAATAGATGGTCGATATGATTCCCTGATGAATATTCACTACCAGTGAATCCAGGTGGGCGTCTTATGTTTGTGTGTTTGGGTTCTATAGAATAAATGGAAACGGACTCACTGAACACATCTCCTCTTGGATTGAGCTGATTGTCCTGGTCCTGCTCCTCTTCCTCTGTAATTACTTTTGGACTTTCTTCCGGTTTGCTTCCAATGTAAACCTCTTCTTCATAGTCAAAAGGTTGTTGTCTGACCTTTGGAAACTCTGTGACGACTGGTTCTGGGATAACATTTTTGATGTCCTCGTTCAGATGTTGGTTTGGCTTCAATGGGTAGTCCGGGATGACTGCAGGAAAGAAGATAACTTTATTACACATTATAGCCATACAAATATACATTACATTATTTTCTTGTTTAGAGGCTGTTAAATTGACAAAAAACACATCACTGTCATTATCCATGGCATTGATTTTGTTAGTTTTACAGGGACATGCTGGGTTTTACATTTAGGGATCAGAACAAAGCTTTTTACAAGGGTGCTAAGTGCAAACAGCCAAAGCAGTTGCAGTGATTATTGTAACATCTCACCATTGAGAAAATCATCTGGGTTTCCTCCTGGTCGTAGATAAAAAGGTTTGACTATAACATAGAGGTATCTTTATTTAATAATTGCATCTGGTAAAAAAGAGTTATCTGCTCTATATAAAAGGGTCCTTCCTTTAAAGTCAAGTTTGGTTTGTCAGAGAACTGGCCTTCAGTCAATATTCTATATTCTGTGTTTTAATCGGTCAGTCTCCTTAGCTATCAACTGTGGTAAAATAAATATATGAATAAATAGAGGGGAGGGACTGTTACTGGTTTAATACTCTTCATCTGATCACACAATTTTAGATTCATTCTCATATAACTTTCACCTGAACATTCAAATCCATTTCCTCTGAACCCAGCTTTGCATCTGCATTTGTAGGAACCTTGGGTATTCAGACATACTGCATGGTGGCTGCATTTGTGTGCTCCGGTTGCACATTCATCCAGATCTGGAACCACAAGAAAAGCCTGTAAAAAGCAGTGGTAGAGACAGTTGTTCACCACATATGTTGTGTACCTTACCTACACAATCATATTTGCCATCGATGTATTTGAGGTCATAGCCTTCCTGGCACTTGCAGAAGTAGCTCCCAAATGTGTTTACACATTGTCTGTTATAGGGGCAAAGGTTATTGCCCGTAACACATTCATCCACATCTGTAATGAGAAAACAGAAAAAATGTTATGTTGTTGTTATGTAGTTCCTTTCACATATTTGATACTGTCTATAAACTCACCTACACATGTCCTTTCATCTTGTCCCAGTTGCAGGCCGGTAGACGGGCAGAGACAGCGGATCTCTCCCTGAACCTCTTCACAGCCATACTGACAGTGAGCAAGAGAGCATGTCCTGGAATCTTTATGTAAGCAACAACACACAATTACAGGTTTGCGCTTATTCTTTTGTATTTTAACTGATACTTACTTGCACAAGATCCATCAGACATCAAAGTATACCCATTGAGACAGTAGCACTTGTAACTACCATGAGTATTCATGCATCGATGTTCGCAGGGACGAGGTTTCAATCCACATTCGTTTAAATCTATGAAAAACAGGTGTGAAAATAATCATAGTTTGGGATTTTAGTGTAACATTTGTCCTTTACCTTGATTGCATGTTTTCCCAGTGTATCCAGGGAAACACTTGCATTTGTTCGGACCCACACACTCTCCGTGCTTGCAACCGTGCTCACACTGAGCTGTAAAAACATTTAGCATGAAAAAAGTTACCATCAGAAATAGTTTTGGTCGGAAAATCCCAGACCACATCCTATTAGACAAAAAATGATTCTATTCCAGTCACACAACAAAGAAATTTATGCTAAAAAGTAATTGTTTTGTAGCACTGGAAGTATTCTTACCTTCACACTGTCCTTTACTATTTTTCTTCCAGCCATAGCAGCACTCTAGTCTCCAGCCATAGCGACACACACCTGGTTGGCTGCCAGTGAGGACTTGCCTGTAGTGCCTTTGCAGAGAACAAGTAAGCTATAACATCGGGTTTGAAATATAATTATAATTCTCTCTACTGTTTATTCAAGTCAATGAATCATGAATCTGTCCTTTTAAGGGATCTCTCTTTTCATGAGCTGATAAAACGCATTCATTCCAATATGCCAATAATTATAGTTTTGGTGAAGTGAAAACATCCCCATAAAGTCACACATCATTGTAATAAAACAGAGACACTCAATAACAGTAACCAACTGACAGGATGGAGGCTATAGTTGGAGGAAAGAATGATAATAATATACCTGCATATTGATTTTTTTTTTTACCCACTTATGATAAAGTGAAAGCACAGTTGTTTCCAGTGGTTTGGGAATTAGATTACTATAGATCCTGGCATTGAAAAACATGGAGGGCCATCACCAGTTTTGGAGACATTTGAATTACAATGTTATCCTGAACGTATACAGTATCACAGTTTAAACTTTCTGTCATCTCCACGTCAACGACTCAATAAGACTGATTGATCGATAGGTTTTCTGCAGGATGATAATAGCAGCTTGGCTCCAGTGACGCTAAGGGTCATCTGAGACTAGAAATCCACCAGAATAGCCTCTCAAATGAGTGTGACAGGTGCTTTTCCGTTATTAACAGTTGCTGGGCCAAATTTAGCAGCGTCTTCATTCCCTTTGACGTTTTTTAGTAAACACATTAATGTCAAAGTATTGAAACTTAGCATTCGTTTTCTTGGTCTTTTGAGTATTTCAAATGTATGATAGGATGGCATGCATGTTGTGCTTTAGCTTAAGAAAGAACATAATACGGAATAATATTCAAATATACTATGACTTTCAACACAATAAATTCAAGGCTATGCACGTGCAAAGCATCTTTTTTTTAAATTCAAGGGTAAAGATGAAGATAAAGCGTGCATAGTTGATAGTCACTCTCTTTCAACTCTCATAACATGTACAAGTATTTACAATGTTTACTTACCTACTGGACTCCACACAATCTGAGTAGATGTGCAACAAAAGAATGAGTGTACCAAGCAAGCTGATGGACTGCATGTCTGAAACCTGCAAGAGCTTTGTCCCCACAGGTTGGTACTGTTTTTACTTGTTCACTGAGAGGTTCAGATGCATCAAGATCAGTGATATGTAATATATGTCCAGAAAGCAGTTTAAGGAAAAAATAACCTCCAATCGCAACTATACTTCTTGTGCCATAATTCTCTTACTATTTTTCTTGTCTGAAATTCCAGCCTGGAGTGAGGGATCGGTTGTGACTTTGTGGAAGTAGGAGTGGGTTTACCAAAGGGGGCTATGGGGAGGTCTGTTGGTGGGGGGTGGGGATTAGCTTTCAGGGTTCTCCTCTACACATAGGTCCACATTAAACTTTCTCCCACTTTGAAGATTAGGAACCTTTTTTATTTCATTCCATTGTACACTGAGTTTTAGTTACTCAACACTCCAACTTCCTTTATTCCGCTGTGATTAGAGCTGTGAGAAGCATAGGCCTGTTATTAGCCACTGCACTCTCTTTGATGTCTTTCTCAGTCACAGGTTGCATGTTAAAAGCCCCCCAGATGCTAAAGGTTGGACCATAAAAATGTCCAATGGCTTTTTCACACTTCCAAGTCAGTTCGCACATCTGTTTTTGCTCTGTTTCAATCTTAAATCTGACAGGTTTCTGGTTTGTTGTTGTTTGTAGTTGTGGTACAGTATCTAGGTGAAGTGCAGATGTAAATGAGTGGCATTTGAGTATTGAGTCATATTCCACAATTTCTGGTGAGATGTAAGGCATAACTGGTAGCAAGGTCATTAAAAGAGATGCTCAGAGTTTTTACTTCACTCACTTTTTATTGTAATAAAAGTTAAATTATTTCATAAAATAAAGTTGTAAATGTAACTAGAGGCCTGTAACAGAGTAATACTCCTGCTGCTTTCCGTGACATAATGTGTAAGATTTATTAAGGGCTAAGTAAGTAGCTAACACAGCACACAATGTAAACTTAATGGATGTGGAGATGTTTCCTTTGAACTAGGATAAAGCATTCTTGCTTCTTCATTATGTTGGAGATTTTTGATTTGCTTTGTTAATATGCTAAAGTTAGAGATTCTATTTTATTTTATTATAGTATAGAGTTATTGTTCATTTATATTGTGTTGTGTGCTACTCATTCCTACTGTTTTGTAACCGGTGATGCAACACTGCAAATTTACCCACTGTGGGATAAATTAAGGATCTCTTAATCTTAATCATATTTGATACCAGAAACTGTCTCTGGTTTGCATTTGAAAAGTCTCCCTGGCACCTTAGTAGTTCCTCAGGACTTAAATCCCATTTATAGTTTGAAAGCTGAATCTGCACATGTGATATCTAAAGCATGCGGATGTAAACGGCCCACTGTGGTGACTGGTTTACTGTAGGTGACAGTGCATGTGCCTGTGCTGCACACATGTCACTCCCATGTAATAAAGTGCTCAACACTCTACGTAACGCAACAGCGCCCTCATCTGCTCAACCCTTGTACTGTATGTTGCTGTCGGATTTGGGAAATTATTGCTTGAATGCGTGCATGTATTTTAGTTCAGTATTTAATCCTGTCTGACATTTAATTTTTTTCAGGCTATGCTGTTGTTTATGAGTCTTTTAACATGTATTTGTGTTGTACAGATAATTATAAATAGTGATTTAGCAAATGTAAGTGAGCACCCCGTTGGCAATGAAAATATTAGAACATTACAATATGTTACTACAATAGTAAAATTAGGTTTAGCTACAGTAAAATCAGAATTTAAGTTAAAGCTCCAGTACTGCCCAACATGTAACATTTTAGTGGGAAAATAAAGTATTATATTATATTGCTGTGTTTTTCCACTCCTGACTCTTACTTCCTGCTTGTTTCCATGGAAATGTTGTTCATTTGGCTACCAACTACAACAGTATATTTGACCAGATTATGTTCTGTATGGGTTAACTATGGAATCATGCAGGTAATTTTGTGTGCTGTGCTGCTATTGTTGCATTGGCCACTAGAGGTCCTCCTCTCTCCAGACAGTGACACCTTTGACATCATGAACTGATAATATAACTGGAAATACAATACACCCATGACATGACTGAAGATCCTTTATGAACAAAAAACAGCATAAAATAAACCCCAAAAAAATCACATGAATTAGGTCAGTACGTCTTTGCCAAAAGAGCCATATTTTAAGGACTAATAATTGTTGTTTTTTATTTTCAATGAGAAATTCCTTTACTGTTTCATATTTCAAGTAAAACAATTTTAGGTTCTCAAATAAAGTTTCACTATGAATATAAGCATATATTGTAAACTGAAACACAATCAGACTATTTGCCAATTAAATTAAATCATGCAGCCCTAAGATGCTTTTAATGAGTGGCCCTTATTGGTTTACTAGAAATTATTTGATAGCTTTAGTTGTAGTGTTTCAATACTTCATAACAATAGATTACGAATGTACAATTTCAACTGGGGGGATACCATCCAAGTCACATAGCACCAGCCCCTCACTGATCCTCCTGCAGGTGGTGAGTCCACAGGAGTAGGGCTGCTCTGTGAGTGTGAGCACAGCCTTGATCTTTCAGCGGGGGCTTTGGGCAAAGTGGGGTTAAGTGTCTTGCCCAAGGACACAATGACAGCAGACATCAGAGGGAGTCGGTGGAGAAGTGGGATTGAACCCATGACCTTCAGGCCTAAAGGCCAGTGCTCTATCAACTGAGCTACTGTCACCCCTTGAAAGCAATTTTGCATAACCACATAACTTTTTGGTGACTTGTTTATGGGGCATAGGCTACAACAAGGGTGAATATGGACAACAACAGTGTCTCTTCAAATTATTGATTGACTGCGGAACCTTCCGCAGTCAACCATTGGTTTTGTATTTCTTTATTCCGTCATTTTTTTTGACACGTTTCACAGCTTTCACATTTTCAACAATTTCCACAAGTTATACATCAAAACGTTCCACATGTTTGGGAGATTATTGCTATTACTTTTGGGACTTCAGCGATTTCCGGTTTTTCCGCAATCGGACAAAAATCTGCATTGAGAATTCTGCAATGCATTTTAATAGGCCCATGCATTTTAATAGGACTTCAGCTCTTTCAGACATTTCTACAGTTTCAATGATTCAACAGTTTCAAGGATTCAACAGTTTCAAGGATTTCAGCAGTTTCAAGATTTCAAGAGTTTCAAGGACTTCAACAGTTTCAAGGACTTCAGCAGTTTCAAGGACTTCAGCAGTTTCAAGGACTTCAGCAGTTTCAAGGACTTCAGTGTAATCATGCAACCTAATAGGGATTTTTCCATGTAAACCAGTATAATGCAACTTAATAGGGATTTTTCCATGTAAACCAGTATAATGCAACTTAATAGGGTTTTTTCATGTAAACCAGTATAATGCAACTTAATAGGGGTTTTTTCCATGTAAACCAGTATAATGCAACTTAATAGGGGTTTTTACATGTAAACCAGTATAATGCAACTTAATAGGGTTTTTTCCATGTAAACCAGTATAATGCAACTTAATAGGGTTTTTTTCCATGTAAACCAGTACAATGCAACTTAATAGGGATTTTTCCATGTAAACCAGTATAATGCAACTTAATGGGGATTTTTCCATGTAAACCAGTATAATGCAACTTAATGGGGATTTTTCCATGTAAACCAGTATTATGCAACTTAATAGGGATTTTTCCATGTAAACCAGTATAATGCAACTTAATAGGGATTTTTCCATGTAAACCAGTATAATGCAACTTAATGGGGATTTTTCCATGTAAACCAGTATTATGCAACTTAATAGGGGTTTTTACATGTAAACCAGTATAATGGAACTTAATAGGGGTTTTTACATGTAAACCAGTATAATGCAACTTAATAGGGATTTTTACATGTAAACCAGTATAATGCAACTTAATAGGGATTTTTCCATGTAAACCAGTATAATGCAACTTAATAGGGTTTTTTACATGTAAACCAGTATAATGCAACTTAATAGGGATTTTTCCATGTAAACCAGTATAATGCAACTTAATAGGGTTTTTTACATGTAAACCAGTATAATGCAACTTAATAGGGGTTTTTACATGTAAACCAGTATAATGGAACTTAATAGGGGGTTTTACATGAAAACCAGTATAAAGGATAACAGTTTAAAGGATATCAGGAGCTTCAAATACTTCAGGAGTTTCAAAGATGTTTAAAGTATTTTAACAGTTTCAAGGATTTCAAGGATTTTTCAGCTAAATTCCACATTAGATCTGTTCCGCAGTCAATCGCAATGGCTTCAGCCATTGCAACGGTTTCTAGTTTTCATTTAGTATTTTTCTACCTAAGGATCAGCAGTGATATGCTGCAGGAGAACTTAATTTTGCCTGGGTTTAGAGCATGTGCTGACATGACGTAATGATCCATTTCAAAGTGTTTGCACAAACACAACAGTGACAAAGGATTGTGTTTGCCATTAGTGTTATGTTGATATTGTGCAAGAAGTTAGAAGACAGAACTTACAGCAACAGGGTAGGTGAAGGCTGGGACAACCCACACCGTTTCTACACACATTGAATTCAAACATATATTATATTAATTTCAATGTTTTGTAATAAAACCTGGATTTCACAACAAATATTTTGTAGTGTTTATTGTTAAAACCCCAATTGTCCATGCCTACATAGGTAACATTGTGCACATGGGAGCTACTTTACAGTGCTCTATGTTAGAGTTATACTTCAGTCTTTGCCCCCCTCCTGAGTCCTGACCATACAGTTGCCCTTAGCTCCAAACATGATTGTGGTAGTTGTGCTGGGCATCTGCTGATCACACAGTACCACACTGCTGCTAGAGGCACTCAAATCAGAGTTGCACCGAAAGAGCTTCAGTTTGACTGGACTGACCTGAGAGCAGTGGTTCTCAACTGGTGGGTCGGGACCCAAAAGTGGGTTGTGGGATCATTTTGAGTGGGAAGTTTTTATACTTGAATTCTGAAGAAAATTTAAATCCTCTTAAAATTAGATAAAATGTAAATTCTTGGAATCTATCCATTTTCCTCATTCCAGAGTCTGTTGAAGTTATTTTGTTCATAATTGTAGCTTTGTAGAATTACTCAATTTGTATAAAACAATACATTGAGAGAATATACAATGATTTAGATTATGTATGTACTAAATGCAGTTCTTATTTTGGTTGTGGCTTGGTGTTGTAAATTGAGTTGGGTCCTGACACAATTCCTGTTGAGAACCACTGCTTTAGAAGAATTTTTTAATAGAACAGCACCCATGGCCGCTCTTTTGGGCTGATGCATTTACAGTAGTCACAGGCTATAGTCATGTTTGTACTGAACTTATGTTGTGCTTGGTGTGTCGCTTTCGTCATCACCGCACTCCGTGTATGAAGTGAATTAAACAATATCTGAACTCTGAACATTGTAAAACGCTTTGGATGGCCTTGGTCTGTAAAAGTGGGCTATATAAATAAGCATTAATTACTAACTTTAACCTGCCAGCACAACATAAGTCCATAATATTGATATTTCTTTTGTATCAGCAACAATTTTCGATTTATTGTTTCTTTTTGAGTTCACAATTACCTTATCACAAGATCTCAAAGGCTTTACAGCAATGGAAATCAAGATGGTTTTCACATAACATTTGGAAACTGAGCAAGTCATTTGAGCTCTATTTTTATGTTCTTGGCCAGTTTTGGTTTAGGTTCGGACTGACGGGATGTACACATCATGGAGTGGAAACAGTCTGCAAACAAAGCACAACCTGAAATGTCACAGCGTGTGACTCACACCAAGTGTGAGTAATTATGCAAGGTTTTGATCCATCCAAATGATTGCCATCATACCACATGTTAGTAAAATCAACATTGTAGTCTTTTCTTTATAGTTTGTGATTGTCAAGTGAGAAGACCATAGTTATACACATTTGATACCTTTCACACAAACATGTTGCCGAGATACCACGATTCTTTTCTATACACTGTACAAGCCTCACATCCACCAAATCAGTCAGATGGTGTTATGCTGCATGGAAGTCATATTCTACTCTAATATTTAAAGTTACAATTTTATTAGATTTAGTTTTAACAAAGCTGAGAGCCCGTGGATCACTGTATAGATCCCAATCTATGATATATATCCCAATATATTATATGAGTTAGCAATGCTGGCTGAGTGAGCACATTCCCCAGGCTTCATCCTGAGGGCTGATCCAAGACTGTTTCTCCTGTGTGAGACTGTCCTATATATATGTATAATATATAATGCACATTTAAACTATCATGTGTGTTGAGACAAGTGCACTTAGTGTAATGCTGCATGCTTTCTCACCGCATCCTGTTGCACCTCTTGTACTTATCTTACCTTCACAATCATAGTCAAATATATAGACAATAATGACATTTATAGTGAAATTGTAGTTATATACAAAGCTTTCACGTATACATAGTTCCCACAGACCAATGAATGTCACATGACCTCCTCGGAGACGCCATCTTTGATGGCACACTGCTGTGTTTGTGCATTCCATTAAACAGAAGAATGAGAATAAATGTAGATATTCAAACGCAAATTGGAAAAAAAGGGCAACTTTTGAGCTAATAATTGTATATTAATACAATGGCACCACAGTTTAACGTGCTACGGACATGTTTTACATATTTGATCAAATTATGCAGCAAAAATTAACAAGCAATGCAAACATTTCTCAAAAACTTTAGATTTAATACCAGTTGGAGCTCCATTTAATTATTTTAATTATATTAACAATTAATTTAATTAATGCTAATGCCACACGGACACTCTGGATTGCTGTTATTGTTTATTTCCGCGTTTTTGACCGTATGTTTTGGTGAATGGTGGGCAACTGATTTTTCCAGGCGTAAAGAGCAGTTTATTTTATGACACAGATCTTTTTACAGAAGCAATGCTGTTTGTGAACATTGTTTTAGCCCACCATAGAACTATTATTATCTATTTAATACATTTACGTTGCCCTCGAGAGCCTCGGACGCGACACCGATCCTCCTCATAATAAAGTAATCTAACGCTAAATAATGAAACTCTCAAGTTACCAGCTATCAGCATACACAAGTTAGTACTGAGTAAATTACGTCTGTCAACACATTATGAGATATGATACGCACCTGACACAAAGTGCTCCGAGCATATTCTTGCGTGTTTTGAGGGAGTTTCTTGCCTGTTTATCTTCGCAAGCCATAACCTCCGTCGTTGTTCTGACAAAAGCTTAGTCTTCTCACATTCATGAAGTCTAATGATGGGTATACTGTAAAATCCAAGTTTAACAGAACCTCCGGCACGATTTGAACATCCATTGACCCAGCAGGAGATGACCATTTTCAACTTTATCACGACATTAACACGTTTCAGCTTCTTTTTCTATTGTTTTGCCCACAGAATGCCAACACAAATGGCGCCGGGTCGGCAAATCCCCGTATGTAGTGACGTCATGTAGGAACTATGTATACATACTGCAGATTAGATAACACAACTGACATTCTGTTTGGTAATTTTATCTAGCAAATTTGGTGATGGCTTATTGCATACATTGAACTTAAAGTAGCAATATTTAATATGTTCTTGTCTAGTAATAATTAAATGGCCCTAATTGTCAAAAGGCATTCATAAACCATTCTCTTTTCGACTACTTTAACTGATAACAGTAGTTCAGCAGAGATATTTAAAATTAGTTTTACACTCCCTGAATCTTGTTTTCATTTCGTTGTCCCGCCCTCCAGAAAGTCTGAGCCGGGTTGCCAGAACTCACTGGTGAAGTAACATGTGGCCGCAGAACTAAAAAAGGCCTTATGATTCTCAAATCAATGACAAAACAAGGAATAAAATGAGGATTTCTATCAGGGCCTTTGTGAAAAAGACCTTGGTTATAGATTTGTTGTCTACATATTTGGCAACCCAAGTGAGGGCGAGTGAGAGGTTGCAGTACCACTTTTGGCCAGAGTTGCACACTGTTCCTTTAAAGTGGTTCTCACCCCCGCTCCTCGGAGCTTACGTTACTCACATTTCCTGTTCAAATCTTCCTCTAAATGGGCGTAGCCTGGAGGACTAAAGGGGGCGTGAACGAGACTGGGCCGTTTACATTGCTCTGGGCGGGGGGCTGCTGACGTCAGGTCCAACTTCTGTGCCAGTGTTGGCGCCAGATTCAAAATTCAAATGTAGTAATACAGGTCGCCAGCAGATGGCGCCTCACAGACGGTTTTAGGCAGAAAAGTCTAACTTTCAACTAATTTGCACCAAAGTGACAAGATTATGACCAGGATATGTAGACAACACTATTGGACACTCATTTATACCGTTTATCAGCAAAAAAAAGTGGATTTGAGGGCGAGTTGTCCTTTAAGAGTTTCAAAAACTGGCAAGACCCGTTTGTATAATTATCGCAGAATGTTGCATAATCTTTGTGTGCAATGTCTCCATAGAACATACTTTAACAAGTGATGGCTAGTTGAAACTTCACAACACAGACTGCAATCTAACATTTGTCGCAGTGTCTCCTAGAGAACATACAAAAAAGATGTTAAATACTTAAATTGCATTTTGTTTTTCCTGTAGAATTTTAGTATAATTTGTTGACTGACAGATGTGACTTGTTTTTGTTCATGTGGAATGCCCCAGGAATTAGAAACTAGCAAACCGATTTGACACTAACCATAAAGATTTTTATACTGCACCCCAAAATGAAAACTAGACTTTATGGAATGGATGGATTTCACATGCAGGCAACCTACAGCTCTGACGTTCCCCAGCATTGGTAAATAAGGCTAAGACATGCAAGATGTCAAACTGTCAGACATACCGAGCGGCCAAATGTAGCATGTTAATGCAAAATGGGGAAGTTTGAAATAATGCTTAACACCTCTGGTCTAGGAACAGCAAGTTTTTTTTTTTTTTTTTTAATTAGCCACTGGCCTATTGTATACAGAAAAGAACTCACGTCTGATTTAGTCGAGAACATGAAGACCACATTACATTTGATCATGTGGCATGCCAAAGCAGTAAACAGCAAAGCTTGCTACACATACTTAAAGCAGGTAAAGTTTAACGTTCTTTAAAGTCAGAAAATAGATATATTTAACTTGTTAGCAAGCAAACAGCTGTAGGACATTCCTTGGCCAGGCTGATTCTCAAAAGTACTACATGAAGATTTACCATTTGCCTCACCAACCCACAAGAAAACCACCATGTATAAATGCAATAAAACTTCCAAAGTCATATCTGCCATTTTATTTGTATGCAAAACATGTGCATTGAGAAACTTTGTCACTTGTGATTAGAGCGCTACGTCTCATTGAGTGTAGCTTCCCTCAAACTCCCAAGACAAGTCCAAACAGGCTACCATTTCTGTACAAGGAAGCTAAGGGTACGGGGATGCACAGCAGGCCTGATCGACGCACTGCAGCTGGATGGAACATTGTGACAAAACGTGCACGAGTAAATCATGCACTCTTTTCCTGTTCGATTGCTGAAATACAAGTTAAAAGTTATGTTTAACTACAAGACACTACTGAATGACAATTGGTACATACTTTCTTTGGTTGGGAGTGTGTTTTTCTCCTGAGTTTCGGTTTTCTTCAACTTGCTCTTGTCAAAGGCTTGCACTTCTGAAATGTCAGGTTTGTCGCCCATTTTGATGAAATCTAAAATGAAAAAAAGTTTAGTAAATCTGAATTTACAATTATTTCAGACTATTTCAAACTATTCCCTCAGACGCACTGATTACCCACGGTGTGCAGCTGTTGCATTCAGCACACGTGAACCTATTTTATAATTAGTGCTTCAAACAAGGGGAAACAATAGCTTCTCATTCGACCGCAAACTCTTACTAGGACAGAGCTACATTAGCGTGTGAAACCTAAATCTTATTATTTATTTATGTATTTATTTATTTTCTTTGCAGACTCACCAGATACGCGCTGACAGAGACTGTAGAAGATGAACGACTCGGCTGCAGTGTGGTGTGGGAAGCCGCCTCCTCTCTTTAATTAGTGGTGTGTATGCAAATAGGTAACGTGACACGCCCCAACGCGGAAAAGTCCAGTTCTGGGGTTTTTTAGTACATTTAATACGTCCGTGGTTTTAGACTGTATGGTTTTCCTCTCCTACTCAGCGAGAAGGACAGATAATGGCTATAAACAACATTGAGACAGTAACTCGCGCGATGTCAGGCCTGTTATAAGTATATCAGTGACATCTAGTGGCCAGATCAAAAGGAAACAAACCTGCCGCTTCAGAATCATTTCAACATTTTTATTCAGAAAAACACAAAATTAAAACAACGCATTAGAACAAATATGTTATCCTTTGCTTACTTATGAGAAAGAACTACGTGAGTCACTATTTGACTTTGTGGGCTGAATGATATACTCAACCAGTGATAGAACAAACTTGTTTTGAGAGCGAGGAACTATTTGGATGGATGTTATTACAGTTAATTTTTTTATGATTTGAAAGTTAGGTATCCAAGCTTTGCCATTTCAATTAAAACAGTCATATAGTGTTTTTGCAATTTTGCACAGTTTTACATTTAAATATTTGGAAGTTACACAGTGTTGTTTTCCTAATCAGTGCATGCATGCATAGCAATATATTTATAATTATAATTAGCATATTATGTAAATATGCCAAAAAAATATGTATATCAAAAATAGCATATTGATATAAATCTACAACTTATGACACAATTGTATGTTACTGTTTGCGGAAAATTAAACATGCAACAAATACACCACACAATTGGGTTCAGTTGTATTTCCAAAACTCTATCTGCTGGTGAAGTAGTTGGTGTAGGCTTTGTTATACAGAACCTGATTATCCACTTTGATAATGTTTTTCAGGTTCTCCCAAAACCAGGACTGGGCCGTGGCAGTTGAGGGCCACTCTAGGACACTTTTGTCACAAAGCCTTTTCCTCAGGCGCAGGAATTGAGAGTGTTGCAGAACAGGCTCCAGCATCAGGATTAAGATAACATCCACATCCTCGTCCAGCAGCCTTTGGTGAGCCAGATACATGGCCAGTTTGAACATTCCAGTTTGCACATATCTCTCCGTTAAAACAAAGAGGGTTTTTCGACTATTTCTGATGCTGTGAGTTAGGTTTTCCAGAATCGGTGTTCCTGGGCACCAGTCCCTTTCCTCCAGGTGCAAAGACAGATGCTTTTCTTCTTTCCCTTCCAGCTTTGCCAGAAGTTGGTCAGTCACCCACTCAGACACATACGGGTCTTTGGTGTCATAAGCTACAAACGCATCATAAGCACTTTCAGGTGAGTGCAGAGAGCGGTATCCTTTCAGCTTTGCTTTTAAAATGTGCAGGATATAAAATGCATTCCAGTAGAAAAAATGTGCCGCCATGGTCACAGACATGAAGATGAAAATAACAGTGCTTGTGGCAATAAAGAGAAGTAATGCTTCCTTGTCATTTACACATTGCTGAATGTCAAAATCAATCAAAAGTGGGCGTTTTGACATATCTGGTTCATCACACTTAACATCAGTGGTTAGTTTGGGTATTTTTATTTTACTGTTGTCCAACCACAAAATAAAATCCATAGAATCACAGGTGCATTGAAAAGGGTTGTTATTTATGTATAACATTTCAATATTACTCTCTGGGTTTGTTACAAAGCATGATTGGTTAATTATTGTTAACTTGTTATTGTTCAGATACAAGATCTTCAGCTTACTCCCTCTTATTAAAAGCCCATCATCCAATTTCACAATGTGATTGTGACTCAGGTCAAGTACTTTTAGTGATGGCGCATTGTCTGATCTGAATGTCAACTTGGATATAGAATTGTGACTTAGGTCTAACATGTTAAGTTTATTTAAACTTCTAAGTGTCTCCCACACATAATTTTTGAGTAAATTGTTGCTGAGGATTAGCTGGGTTAGGGTTTTTGGAAAGTTGTTATACATTTGAGGGGGTATGACTTTTATGTCATTAAATGATATGTCCAATATGCTCAAATTAGTCAGATGTGTAAATATGCTATAGTAGGCCTCATCTTTCCAAAGCACCCCAACATTATTGTGTTGAAACCGAAGTTCAGATAATGATTTACTACGCATCTCTTTTGTTGATAATGAGTTTAGATTGTTAGAACTCATATTTAAAACTCTCAAAAGAGGCAGGTTTAGAGTGAAATTTAAATTATGTGTAATTCCAACTGCTTCAAAGTAATGAGAATTGTAGCTAATATCTAGTACTTCTAGTTTTGGCAGGTCTTTAAACGCCCTGTTATAGGCCAGATCAATTTTGTTAAAAGACAAATCCAGATAGGTCAGATTAGGTAAAAGGGAGAATTCAGTACCATTTAATGCCACTGAAAATCCATTATGTGAGAGATTCAAACAGGCGATGTCTTTGTAACCTTTGAATTGTTTTTCAGAAAGGAAGAACAGATTGTTTCGGCTCAATATGAGAACATTCCCAGCGTTATAGCATTCCTGTTTAACATGCCTATGAACTTTATAGTCCGGTATGCCTCTAGTGAAAGGTGATATTGAAACTCTCTCTGGAGATTGATCATATTGAGGTTGTTGAGGACTGGACCCAGAAACTGGATACAGTCTGTTTTCAGATAGTAATATCAATTTCATTGGTGGAAATGTGCTGAAGATAGCAGAATCAATAGTAATTATGAAGTTAGTTGCCAAGTTTATGGAGGTAAGGTTTTTGAGTTGATATAAAGGTGACAGTGTTTCCTTAAAAACATTTTTAAAAACTGCTGCCTCCAAATGCAGTGTGACAAGTGACTTAAGATGGCTGAAATCCGAAGAGAGGTTCAGTGTACTAGGATATTCTCTAAGGGCATAATTAAATGAGAGATCCAGTATTTGTAGTTTTGGAAGACATTTTAACCAGTTTTGTTTATCCCCAGTGATTGCTTTGAGCAAGTAATTAAAGGGTAGCAGAAGTGTCTTTAGATTAGTCATGTTTTGGAACCAAAAACTTTTCACATACTCTAATGAGTTTCCTCCCAAGTTAAGGGTGTGCAACTTTGTAAGATCACTAAATGCATGAGGGTGAATTCGAAGGGAATTGTTTTTGCATGGGACACAAGGATATGGAGCGTTTGTACACCTTGGGCAGTTTCCTTGAATCATTAAATGCGTTAAATTATGTAGTCCACAAAAATCTTTCCGAGATATATATCCTATGCTGTTTGTTTCCAAGTTTAATTTCAAAAGAGACTTTGGTAGATGTTTAGGTACCTTAGTTAAGTTATTGAAGGCCAAATCCAAATGTTCCAACTTTCTCATTTTTCCAAACGCATCGTCTGTGATATTGAAATATGTGCCACATGGATTGTCGCTGAAGCAGTTGTAGGGTAACAATAGTTTGGTGACATTTTCCACTGCAAAAAGTTTCTGTTGGTTCAAAGACACAATGTGATTATAATTGAGCTCAATGATTTTTAGGCTCACTGGCAAGTTTGTTGGAATAGTGTTTAGTTGAACACCATTGAGCTTCAGGATTTGAAGGTTGGCCAGTTGCTTGAATGCTTTTTTATGAATTGACACACCCTTGTTTCCGTTGACCCATCTGAGATCCAAAACTGTGAGGTTCAACAGTTTTGAGAATGCATCTTGTGGAATTTTTGGAATGGCATTTTCCGTCAGATTGAGCTCAGTTACATTTGGAAATATATGTTCCAATATGTCAGATATGTTCCCCAGATGTCGAATCGAACAATCAAATGTGACATTAGATCCACACTCTATTACATCACAAGGAAACCTCCGTGGCATCCAGATGGTTTTACACGTCTGGTTTTCATGAAGGCACTTGCATTGAGTTATAAGACTGATCAGCAGGTAGAGCCAAACAATAACCGCCTGTAAATACACAAGAGATACACTGTCATTATTGTTACATCCATTAGGTGGCAGTATGGTCATCAAAAGTATCTAAAATCAGACCCTTATTGATTGTAAAAGTAGATTTGAAAATAGACTCTCACTTAAACAAGATTCCAAGCTTATACAAAGACTTTCTTGAACTGTATTATTTTCTTCATTGGATGTCAAATAAAAACTGTATTAAAATATTTGTATGTTGTGCTAAAAATGTGTTTACTGTCTAAAAAAGTCACAATTTGCCAACAACAGATCGATGAATCAAAAAGTTTGAATACAGGAAAGGCAATAATAACACATAGGGGCCATTGGTCCACAGGATGACCAATGTCCATAGATAATAAATGTCACAAATGTCCCAGATCATCACTGTCCTAATCCCCTCCTGCAGTGGGTCGGTTATCATTCTATTAGAAAAAATTATTCTGTATTCCATTGAATTATAAAAAATAAATTGTTCAGGCAACTTTTCATTTAAGATGATGGGGATGTTTTTTATATGCAACTTCTTTCTCTGCTCTATAAGTCACTAGATAAGTTTTTTAACGGGTGCACTGTAACTTTTTGAAAACATAGGTTGGCCTTTGCTGTCCAAAGCAACATTATACATTATTTATAAAGGATTTATTGGAAAACAATTACTACAATTTCTATTGGTTACATTGTGTTTGTGAACACAGTCTCTCTGATTACAAGCCATCTCCTGTTCGTACAAGAACTGAACTCGCTACTTTTTCTGGGCTAAACAGTCTAATCAAGTCTAATCAAGTCTTTTTTTTCAATATTCTTTTAATAAGTTTAATTAATAATACTTTCAATGTTTTGCGTTCTACAGTTAGATTTTATTAAAATCTTCTGTTATCCATGTATACATGCACACAGGTAAAGAATACATGTATATGAAATTACCCCTCTGAGGGATGAATACAGGTTATCTTATCTTGCCTTATTTATCTCATCTTATATACAGTATGGGCTTCAGTATAACACCAATTTAAGTGGCCAACATAATTTCTTCGTCGTTTGGGAACTACGAGGAAGTAGGGGGTGAGCTACAGTTGGGCGGCCCTTGGCTTAGAGAAACTATTGTATTGCCTGTTTAAGATAGTTACAAATGCCTTTTTAATGTTGCAGGATTGGTTATCTATTTATTTCTCGCTAAGTGTCAGTGCTATAATGTCAGATTTCATATCAAATTGAAATTGAACACAGTGTGATTGCAATGCCATCACCGCATTTTATAGCAAAAATTACATTTTGTAATCTAAACTAAGATAATTGTTAAAACTCAATTTCAAAACAAAACACTCACCATTATTACAGGTCTTCAGTCAGTGTCCATCGCCAAGTGGGGTTGTGTTTAACAGTAACAAATGCACATGGTTTATAGAAGTGGCATATGAACATGAAGAAGTCAGACAGTTTCACTTCCACATTTTATTTGACAAGTTTAAGCAGTCACTTTCAAATTCTGCCACGCAGCCCACTGACTATACATTTTACTGGAACCAGAAAGTCTTTTGTAAGCAGAAGGAAGTACAAAAATACAAATGTATTTGTTGTATATATCATGATTACAAAGTCTCTTTAAAGAGGTTGTTGTATTGTTTGTGGCTCTCTGTTGCCAGCACATTTTTTAGACAAAACCAGAAATATGGCTGGGCTTGAGGGTTAGTAGGCCAGTCCAGCACAGACCTGCTGAACAGTCTTTTCCTCAATCTCAAGTATTTCGAATTACACACCACTTTCTCCAAGAAGATGAGAATAATTACATCATCCTTTTCATCCATAAGTTTTTGATTGGCCATGTAGAACGCCGTTTTGAAGTTCCCACTTTTAATGTATCTGTTAGTGAGAATAAACACAGTTCTTTTGCTCTTGTGGATGCTCTGGGAGAGATTGTGGATGAGTGGACACCCAGGGATCCAGTCTCTGTCCTCTAAGCAGAGTGTGAGTCTGCGGTCCCCGCTTGTCTCCAGCTGAACACTCATCTCCTTCATGACCCACTCAATCACGGCTGAGTCCTCTTTGTCATATATCACAAAAGCATCATACTCTGCACCCGGGGAGGAGATGCGCTTATAACCCTTGAGTTTAGCCCTGAGGAAGTGGTAGATGTACCAGACGTCCCATAGGAAGAGGTGGCTGGACACAGGGATAGTGACACAGCACAGAACAAGACATGTCATCAGTGTGTAAAGGATAATGGATAGTGAGCTGTGTTGGCAGGCTGACAAGTTAACTGATATAACTAAGTTTCCTTTTTGCGTGTCCGGAAGAAAGCACTTTATATCTGTACCCAGTTTGGGGATTGTCACCGATGTCGCGTTCAGCCATTTAATAAATTTAGTAGCATTGCAAGCACAGGTAAATCTATTATCATGCAAAAGCAGCATATCCATCTTCTTTATAACATCATCTGGAAAGGTTGATGTTTCAATATACTCAATCAAATTAGAACTTAGATCGAGATGTTTTAGATTTAAGGAATTTTTGAGAAATTCTCCTGACAGTCGCACTATTTTATTCTTGTGTAAAATAAGCTTTGTAAGGGAACTGCTGCAGTTCGACAGGACACATGGCACAGTAGTTAAGCTGTTGCGACTCAGATCTAAAACCTGCAGAGAAGGCAGATGCTGCAGCTCTTTCCAGTCAAAGGATTTGAGCTTATTTCCTTTTAAGTGAAGTTCTGACAATTTTCCAGGGAGACCAGAAAACAGCGCAGGTGGGAGGGAGTGAAGATTGTTCTGTGAGATGTCAAGGAGTTTCAGATTGACTAGCTTGCTAAAATAATTGACATATCTCGTGTCGCCATCCCTCCACATAAGGTCCAAGCGGTTATGTCTGAACTCTAACCTCTCCAGTGATTCACTTTCTAACTCTGTGTTTGTGGAAGTAGAGATCTGATTGTTGTTCATCAGCAGTGTGTTCAGCTTTTTGAGGTTTTTGGTAAAATTGAGCATGTGAGTTAAGCCTTCAGATTGAAAGTAATGGTTGTTATTACTTATATCTAATATCACCAGGTTGTGTAGCTCCTGGAAAGCAGTTGGATGCAGCAAGTCTAAACGGTTTGAGGAAAAGTCAAGGTATTGTAAATTGGGGAGGTTAGAAAATTCAGAGCCATTTAGACTTTGGCTCATCAGGTTACTTGACAAATTTAGGCACCTCAGCTCTTCAAAATTTAAAAAGCGTGATTGCAAAAAGAAAATGTTGTTTCTTGACACGTCCAGAGTCTTCCCAAACTGACTACACTTCTTGTCCACAAGAGAGGTGACTGTACCCAGTTCTTTGTCTTTGTGTTTGCAACTGCGGGCGTACTCGTCAAACTTGAAATAGTGAATTTCTTTTACGTCTGTGCTCTCATACTCTACACCAGACGACATTGGAGACCACCCCTCTGCTTTGCCCTCAGAGGAACCCACAGTCTCTTGCTCATCAGAAGGGGATGAGATTTTATTATCAGCCAAATTTATTATCTTAAAATGTTGTAGTTCCAGCAGGATACTGAGATTTGTAATCTTGATGAAATTTGTGCCAAGATCAATCACTTCCAAATGTGGTAAATATTTTAAAGGTGCAATGCTCTCCTTTTGAAGCTGCTGAAAAACAAAACCCCTTATTCGAAGAACTCTTAAGGATTTCAGTTCAGAGAAATGTGGGCTCAGAGTCAGAGTCTGAGGATATCTCTGCAGATCATAGTTAAAGGAAAGGTCCAGTTCTTCCAGTTTGACAAGATAAAGGGGAAATGTAAAACTATCCACTGCCTTAGCTAAAAAGTTTGATGAAAGGTCCAGCACTTTGAGCTTCATTGTACTGTTAAACCACTCTTCCAACACATATTTCAAAGAGTTGCTATGAAGTCGCAGGGTGGTTAGTTTTGTTTGCATCTTGAATGCATTAGGGTGAATTTGTAGAGGGGAATTGTTTGGGCAGGGGGTGCATGGAAAAGGAGCATTGTAACAGCGTGGACAGTTGCCACTAATATCTATAATCTCCAAATTAGTCAAGTTTTTGAAATCCTCCTCTGTAACAATTCTAATGTTGTTATTATACAGGTACAATTCTTTCAGATTAATGGGTAACTGTTGTGGTATATAGGATAAATTATTTGACTTGAGAGATAAAAGCGTTAACTTATTAAGTTGTAAGAATGCCCCTTCTTCTATGTAATACGAATTGTTGCAGGGGTTTCGGAAATAGCAGTTTTGACCAAGATAAATAGTCTCAACATTCATAAGGCCAGTTAGATTCACTGTATATATGCTGTAAATGTGGTTTACTTCCAGACTGAGCAATGACAGGTTTTCTGGCAGATTTTTAGGTATCTCATAGAGCTGGTTGCCATCAAGATACAGTGCTTTGAGATTTTCAAGATCTGAAAAAGTGTCATCTCCGATTTCCACACTTCTACTGCAAATGTTATCCTTTGGGCCAATCTTGATGGGCACACAGTTGCACCTGAAGTCAATCTCTGTCAGGTTATCCAGTCCATGAAAAGAGGAGGAGTTTAAACTATGGATGTGGTTTATGGTGAGCGTCAGGTTGGTGGTCTCTTGTGGGATGCCAGGTGGGATATATTTGAGGTTGGTCTCCGTGCAATCTACAACCACCTCAGTTCCGTTGCTTGGCTCAGTGACGTTACATGGCAACATCTTTGGATATATTACCCTAGCTGTCGACGTTGAGATGGAACACCACAGACCCAGCAAAGCCACATGGATCTATACAGCAAAATATCAGTATTTTGAAAAGTGAATTCATATGCAGTAATGAATATTGATACTAATGTCAAAGCTGGGGGACTTAATTTCATCATTAATTAATGTTGTTTGTCTCAAAAGAAAAAAATGCAAAGAAAATTGCTGCCTTCATACAATTAGAAAACCTTTTTTTTTTTTTTGTATATTGAGCCCTGTGAGTCACTATTTGACACTTTGGACTGAGAACTGATTCAGAGTGGTCCTCATTTATCACTTTTCTGTCTGAAGATGTGACAGAGGCCAAAGAACATGCATTTGAAAACATGCTTGCGATATAACTGTTTTGAACTAGTGAGATGGATTTTATGATATCTACATTCTTCGTGGTTTGAAAATATGGTACCCCAGCTTTAAATAAACATAGTAATACAACAAACAAATATCTTTACTTACCAGCTGAGGCAACATTTTCAAGTCAGCACTGAAAAATTAACAATCTCCTCTATTTATATAGCCAAGCCATATAAAACTGATGCTGTAGTTTTATGCTGTTGGTCGTTATTGTGAAACTACCAGCTGCATACGCATATTTTTAAAAAGCACCGCTTCCCTTTTGTCACATGGTATTATTTTCACACTTATACCTTATCATGCATGGGAAAGTGCCTTTTCCAAAAAATCTATCTAAATATTTTGACAATCACTGAACTACTAAAATATTTGCTTTTTAGTATATATAAAAAACAAAAACATTTTTGTTTTGTGTATATATACAAAACAAAAATGTTTGTGCAGCATGTAAAATAACATTCACAACACATCATTACCATATCATAGCTTGGTTAGTAAAATGATGAATTATTAAAGATAGTTCTAAAACTAAAATGAATAATTAACTTTTAAGATAATGGCGTTCTGAAACTTGGTACATTGAAAGGCTATCAAAGTGAAATCATGAAAAGAGGCTAAGACTGCAGTTACCACTTTTTTATTTTAATGTTGACAAAATAACAGGAAAATAAACATCCAGACTTCCAGGCATCTCTTTTATTTGATCATATCAACACCTCCTGTGCAATGATTTGTCAGTAGCTAATAAAGATTTTGGTTTATTCCCATCATAAAATCTTACAAATTATACACAAGAGTCCAACTATCTACCTTAAATAGTAAGTATAAATAATCAATAATTTACTTCAGAGGTGAGGGTCATTCGTGTCTGGGTTATTTAAAACTTTACTTTATATAATTTCTTTTTGCTTTATATATTATTAAAATACTGTATACACAAGGCAATCTTTTTTCAGCAGTCAGCACATTAGTTCTCTTACATGTATGGCTTTAAAACAATACAGTTTTTATTTGTCGAATTGTGTTGCCAGTGAGTGAGTTAGTGCGTTAATAACAGCAGTCATGGTGGCAGAGTGATGTGTCAATGCGTCCACACTTTGGTCACTCGAGGATCGTCCTGAAGCCGTCTCTGCAGCTTTGAGCAGACTCACGTAGTTTACGACCACCTCGTTCACCTGGGCGACCAGCTCACACCGTCGCGTCTCGCTGTCCACACTATTCACCAGAGACATGGAGGCCTGTGCCAGGCAGCACAGGGTGTGGAAGCTGTGGGTCAGGGTGAGCAGCAACTCCTCCGGGCTTTCGTACTCGTTGACCATCCGACTGCAGGCACAGCTCAGCACTTTGGCCTGCATTAACAGCAGCTGGGAGAGCGCTTCTGTGTCCGCATACCTTGCCTCTGCGCTCTCGGCTTGTTCACCTGAGTGGTCTGCACTGGCACGCAGCAAAGCGATCATATCTAAGGCATCCTTTCGTGCCAGTGCAAACCCTGTGTGAAGGCTGTACGTTTTTCCCTTCATTGAATTTACACAAGCCAGCCTTGCTTTGAGGCTCATGTCGTTCATAACGTTGTTATCTTCCTCCTGCTCAGGCTTTGAGTCATCATCTTGACTGTGCTCCTTTCTCCACAAAAAGCAGTGACTAAGGGGTCCATGACACCTCAGTGTACTCATGTCCATTTGTGGCAACAGAGAAGAAGCTCCCTTCAAAAGCCTGCTACCTGAAGAATTTAACGCGACCGAACCCTGGGACCAGCTCTGGCGTAACGTTTTGGTGGGCCTCTGCACTTTCAGGGATTCTTCAGGCTGCCCACCGCTCCTTCCCGTCAGGGTGGCTTTGGTCTTCTCAAACAGTGCTTCGAAGCTCCTGGCGCCCGGCACAGTGGTGCTCCAGCTCCTCCTGAGTTTCCGCACCTTTTGTGACCTCCTCAGCCCACCTGCTTTATGGGCACAAGAACATGATCCGCTTGAAGGGTAGACCGTGTTGTGCGGGTCGGGTTCCGGGCTGGTTGCTGTTAGCCCCATGTGCTCTGTGCTACTTGTTAATGATGATGGTGACATGGCTGTGTTGGTGGTCTCATTACAGAGAGCTAAAGATGACTCCGCATCATCCTTCTTCAGCTGTGTGCAAGCTACACTAGGGGTAGTAGGAGAACAAAGAGAACTGTTAAGCATCTTTGTTCTATTAAACAAAACAACAATTGTAAACCGCTTTTTGACTCTGGTCTGTGAAAGGCGGTATATAAATAAAGATTACTTACTCACTTACTTACTTAAACGTCATATTTCCCATTCATTCATTATTCAATCATGCACTAAATTTTAACCTCAAATTTTTTAGTTTTGTGTATACATATATATATATATATATATATATATATATATATATATATATATATAATTATATATACATATATATATATATATTTGTAATTGTATATTAAAATAGAGAAGCCATGTCCAAAGTCTATCGTTCCCGGACAAACGATATCATCGGCCCTCTGGTATAGATCATGAGCATGAAATTAAGTAAAAAGGTTTACTTTTTACTTAATTTGTTCATTTGTCTTTACTTGAGCATCTGTGTTTCACAACTTTAACGTTGAGATACAGATCAGCATGGCAAGTAAAGCGAGAGATAATAAAATAAATACATGTACAAATAGAAATTATGCCCAAAAGGAGTAGGCAGAAGAAAAGCTTGTTAAAGCCTACCCCATTGGACATTCACGGGTGAGCAGTCGACTTACCGTACATTCATTATCTGTGATCAAAATGCGTTTGGTCGCTGCTTTATTTCGGTGTAATTTTGTGTGTATGTTATCCATGCCCAAGAATAAACACACACTGTGTGCATGTTTCTGGTCATGAATGTATGTCTAGGTAATTATGTATGTGTATCGTCCATGTCCAGGCATGTGTGCCGGTTCCTGGACTGTCCTGGGTGGTTTACAACTCACTTTGTGCATATTGACAAAATACTTAATAGTCTCCTTAATGTAGCCTTTAGGAAACCAAAATTCAGCTTTCTAGCATATATTCTGCTTATTGCTTAAGGATGGATAAAGTCTAACAATTTTAAATTACAAGTTTACTGCAAGCTTTTTATTTTGTAATTGGCCTTCTACTTATTATCGTAAATTATAGACAATGTTGGATGTGTGCTTGTCCTGGGTACTTTTATTTCTCCTGGCTCTTCACTCTAAACACGTTTGGACACCCATGCACTAAAGCAAACCCTCTTGTGTAATCTGTATAATGGTTTGTTAGGCATTACCTGTGGTTTCTTTTATCTTGGCCGTTCGGGGAGTACCATCCCTTGTGATCGAAAATCCTGGTTCAGCACTTGTAGCTGCATGGATCTTCCTAAGCAGAGTGGGGTCCATAGGATGCCCGGCCTTAAACATGCCTGGGAAACTCTTCTCTTCACCAGCTCCATATCCCACTCCCTTAACGGCACTCTCTGACAGTATGTGTACATTTTCAGCGTTGCAATGCGGTGAATCCATTGGAGTGACACAGCTGCTGCTCCCCGTGCTACAACCAGCATCTATAGAGGAACATTGTGAGTTCTGAAGCGAATGTACGCCCTCACTTTGCAAAGACGACATGCGCTTATTTACATAGAAATCGTGCATCCGTGCTGCCTCTTGTTCTGTAGATGATGTTTTCTCAATTTCCTGTGAGATGGGATTTTCAGTGGGAACCGGCCCTTTGGATGGCGAGTGGACATTTAATTGCTGATTACTTTCCACCAAGTCTTGCTTGTCTCCCTTTATTGTAACTTGGGCGGTGTGGGAGGCCTGTGAGTCATTCCCACAATCTGGAGATAGACTCTCTGCCATTTTGTTCCCAGGTGTTCGTGGCCATTTTTGGTGCTTGTCTTTTAAGTGGGTTCTCCCTAGGTCGAGCTGGTTCACATAATAGGAGTCTCTCACAGTGAATTCCTGATATTTGCCAACTAAATGAGGGGTTTCTTCTCTGGGTGAGTCTTGTGATGATGGTTGTGAAGCTTCAGGAGATTCGCAAGTGTCTCTTGGCTCCAAATCCCGCTGTTTATTTCTCTGCCGGCTCATCACTGGCCCCATGTGCATCTTGGTGAAATACTCACTCACAGATTTGATTTCCATCGTCTCTGGCTCCATCTCACCACCATCTGAGTGGAAAATCTGGGAAGAAGCAACAGGAGCAGATTTGTCGTCCTCTGTCTCAGGCCTGGCCACTGCTCTACTGTCACAAGCAGACGAGGCTTCAACCTGGTCCTCGTGGGTAACATGGTAACCCTCTCCCATTGCTCCATGGAACCTCAGGTGACTATCAGGATGCCTGAGAGCGGACGCTTGCTCTGAGCTCTCTGTCATTTCCGAGGAGTTCGTCTCATTGCCAGAATCGGACGACTCTGGACTAAATGCTCGAGATATTTCAACACCTGTGTGCCACAAAGAAACAAACAGCAAGTTAAGACAGTCAAATTTAAAGCCCAAGTAATATTTGGATGACTTTCATGGATAAAATAAGTACAAAGGATGTGACACTCATGTTTAATGAATACATGCCAGATGATAGTCAGTGTTCAAAACATAATGAAACAATGTTGAATAAATAATGACACTTTCTGAGATAGTGTCACATAATCTTCTGCATTATTTGTGTAGGGAAAAAATATATTTTGCAAAATATTCCATGTTGCTAGATGGATTGTATTGTATGTCTGTGACACATGATCAACCAAGAACACAATTGGAAGGGAACACTCTTCTGCTTGTGTCTCTCGCTCTCTCTTTATATGTTTAGTTACATATACCAACGTTTTTGGCTCAAATAGTATGTATTGTGGATGTGATAATTCCAATGGGGAAATATAAATACAAATAGTTTAACCTAACAAATGGATTACACAATGGGAAAATGAAAAGAACAATGGAAGCAAAAACACAAAGCAAAGACACAAATGGAAACTGATGAAAGGGGATTTATTTAAAAACAAAAATAACCAATGAGTGAATATGAATGGCTGTTAATGAATGAATGTGACAATAGTATAAGCAGAACCTGTGCTATTCTCGGACTGGGCCGGACTTTGTTCTTCAGAGGCAGCAAGGGCCTCAAGGGCCTGTAAAGTAGATACTACTGCATCGTCCAGTGGTGCCCCTTGGGCCCCCGCTCCATGTGTGGGCACTGAGTCTATGAGGGAAACTGGGATGTCCATTCCCTGGGCTCCACTTCGGACGCCCGGATGCTCTTCTTCATCTGAACTGTCTCTGAAGCCTGGGGGAGGGGCAGCAATGGCCATGTTAAGGGAATGAAGTAGTATGTCACTGTCCTCCTCGTTGTTGCCCTCTGGTGGCGGAGGAAGGGAGGTCAGGTCGATGATGTCGTCGCTGGAGCCTGAGAGTGACAGCAGCATGGGTTTGTCAATGTCACTCATGACCAAGTCCTCCTCACAGCTGATGTCGTCCTCATCTTCAGCATCATCTGTGGTTTCAGCGTAGCAAATGTCATGCAGCAATGGCTCCTCAATGCACTCAGTTTGACCAAAGATTTTTGTGGCATATTGATATCCGTCTCCGTCTTCTATGGCATCCATTAACTTGTAGTCCTCCTCGAGACGCCTGTACATGTGGCTATGATTGTCAAGAATCTCTGGGTTGTCCTCCATTAGTCTCTGGTAGCCCAGATTTTGGGGGTTCACACTGTCCAGGGGTGGGTCTCCAAAGATGAAAGAAACCTTTGCGTTTCTGGAAGAATCTTGGGGTTTGGACCTTGGAATATTGAGGTAAGTTTGTGTACAGGGAATTCGACAGCACTCTGCTCTTTCCACTGTGTGCATTGTGTGCTGAGTCTGATGGATCTCAGTGACATAGACTGGCTGGCTTTCACATCGAGCATGGTTGAGGTATTCACAATCCTGGTCAGAGAATTCTTGGCTGTATCTCTGACGGTTTTTGTCTTCACATCCTTTATGAGGTGTGCTGTAGGTACATTCTATGGACTGGAAGCTCTGCTTTATCCTTGCAGCGTGATCTGTAAAGTAAGCAAAATATCAAAGTTCTGATAAATATTTGTCTTCATATACCCATAGTTAAATTGAATGTACATACTTTTGTCCATTGTGTCAGAGTTTTTGGCCATGTTGAAGATAGAACGGCGAGAGTCCACTAGTAAGCGGTAATATCCAGCAGTCAAACAAGCCAGATTCATTGCGTCCACAGACTCCATTAGGAGAGTGATGGGCTGTCAAACACACAAATAAGCAAATCACAAAAAAACAAAATAAATGGACTGCAGAATGAGATGGTAATGGTTAATGTTTCTCCAATGCAAACACTGATAGTCCATGCATTAGTGAATTATTTTTTGTTTCAAACCTTTACATCCAGGACGTGTAGCTCCACTCTGACTCTTTTTTCATCCTCAGTGTACATCTCAATGCGATTGACATGGCTGAAATCCGCCAACAGTGCAACCAAATTTGTTTTGGTATTAATCACATGACTAATTCCATATTTTGGGCCCACAAGTAATGTCACCTCTGTGTGCTTTTCACCTTGCTGTTAATCAAGTACACCATTTTATTTCAAGGCTGAATAACAAGCGACATTGCCACATAGAATGGTCATACTTACAACAAGTGTAGATTTAAAAACCCGACCACCATACAGTCTTAAGTCACTGAGATACTTCAGATAATGTACTTTTGCTTGCAAGGCAGTCAGCTGGAATAAAAAAGATACAAATTGGTTGATATCCCTCCAGCAAATGAGAAGCAACATAAGACACAAAGTGTTATACAGTATATAGAATAGAAAAAGGTAACAGGACAGTTGTCTTGAATCACATTTAAACAGAGACCCTCCACTAGGGGGTAGTGTGGAGTTTATTTACATCACATTGCAGGATCATAACATAAACAAAGCATACTTGTAAAAAAAAAAAAGAAATAAGCGAAGAGATACCTTTTTACCAGGAGGCACCAAGTTTTGGTTGGTTTTGAGGATGTGTGTTAGAGCTTTTTTGATGTTTTTCTCTTTCATACTTGAAAGCACAGCTGGAGGCAGAAACAGTCCCAGACCCCATTCCTTCCTTTGGGAATATCATTCATGAACATTAGAAAAAGCATGCCATTTCACAATTCAATTCATTTTTTAAGATTGTAATGAGCAGGGATAGGAAAATGAGTATAGATGTTAATGATCAGAGAAAGCAGCATGAGTGAATCTTCATGGCAGACAATACAAAAGTCAAGTCAAATATTTTATAATGGCTATGTTCATTAGTAGTGCTAAACATAAAACCTTACTCTATATACTTGAGAGAGACTTTCTGGGACTGCTTGGTGTTGATAGTTAGAATATACATTTGCAGTGCAGCCAATCGGAGGGCAGTATCATATTTCAGCTCTGACCCAAATCTCTCCAATACCACGTCATTACAGCTCTAGAAGAGACAGACAGAGATAGGTTACACTTTACATAGCAGCAACAACAATAACAAACACTCATAGGATGTTGGCTGATGTCACATTGCTTTTCTCTGTAGATACTAACCTGCACATAGAGGTACTCAAATGCTACCGCATCTCGCCTTAACAGCTCTATAGGGTCCTTTGGGACAAACGTGATGCGGAAAAAGCACTTCATTTTGTGTGACCCTGGCCTCTGCGTCACCTTGAGCGCATAAATGAGATAAATAGAAAGCCATCACTCAACATTGTGCACAACAGTGTGCAGCGTGCCCATGTAAACCTGTTTTATAAGTCACTCCTTATATTTTGGCTTGTGTTCAACAAAGCTGCTGTGTTCTGTTGACATTTATTATTAATATCTCTTCCTTTAGAAAAGTTTTGACTTCACAAGCACTCTCAATAACACCTCATTATGTAACTGTTTTAGCCTATGGTTAGGTTGGCTTGTGTATAACATGTATTACCATGGTAACAGAATGTAGATTTGTCAATACCTGAGTTAACATCTCCTGCTCATGAAGGAGCATGAGTTTACTTGCTGATCCTTCTGCTCTATGCTCCAGCATAAGAGAGAAGTGCTCAATACTTTTTATGGATAGTTTTTCTTGCAGGGTCAATATGACATCCTTAGAAAGGGAAAATAATCAACATTATCAGACAAATACTTATTAGGGGAATGTACTTTGTTTTAATAGAATTATTATAAACAAATAACTCAGTCACTGCCCATTACCTTAATGGATGTGTTTGTGTCAAATTTAAAAGATTTAGTTTGTCCATTCTCCAGATACACTTTCAGAACATTTGGCATAAAAAGAAGAGAGTTGTCCTTCACAGTTTCCTGTCGTTGAGAAACAAGTTGAAAGATGACGGACATAAAATAAATTGTGGTCAAGCCTGACACCTAAAATAGAATCTATTCATGTTTCAGACTTTGGATTGTTGATCACAAGGAGTCTTACCGGCATCTGTCCATTTATGATGACCTCTTCTGCAAAGCGCACTTTAACTGGATTCGACTTTAACTTGGCCTTCTTGGCTGCACTGATGAACGCTGATTTAGGGGACTTTTGGAGAGAAGAGTAGTAAGCATCACTTCATGTATAAAATATGCATCTACGGTATATTTATCAAGGGGATGTCAGCCACTTCAAACACACTTAGACCACACTATCTGAACAGTGCCAAACATACATGTTCAGATAATAATAATAATAATAATTCGGAATGAAAAAGAATACAATGTAATTACTTTCTATATCAAGAAAGGTGTATCATTTTCTGTTGTGTTATTTGGTGCAGCTTATTTTGGGAAAGAGTTCAAGCATAGCCATATTTGTTCTGACTTTTATGTAGACTGTAAACAAAGCGGAATTATGCTTCTGGCAATGGTGCACCATCACCATCTGGGTCTCTTGTGAATATTCAGTCAAAAAGTTCACATAGGATTTCTGAGAATCTAAAACACTTGGAAACAGGGCTGAGATCTTCCCTGTTTTGGTATTAGCCAGACACTCAACACTCACTGAAGCAGTTCCAGCAGGAGCATATGGTGTGATAAATGAGTTGTCTTTGCACAGTCAACAAGTAATCTACTGTAATCCAAAAAAAAGACATAATGTAGCAATACAATGTATATATAAAAAAGGAACCTACTGGATACGGTTGGATAACGGTCAGCATTATGGATTCCTTGCAGCTTCTATGAAAAAGGAAAAAAGAAAATGACAACAATAAATAAAATAAAATACTAATAGAACCCGCTGATAATATGCAAACATGGATCAGACTATATTTGTAGAAGTTTTTGGAAAAAACATTGCTCATAGTGCAATACACTCATATTTTCTCAGCTCCACCCATGTCAGTGGTGCTGGTTAGCATTGTTGAATAGTGTGGTACCTGACGAGGTCGATGACCTTCTCCCTCGGGGCTGAGCTGACTGCCTCATCATTGATCATGATGATCTCGTCCCCTGGGAACAGCTTGCCTTCTGATGGACCACCTGACACCACACAAAGTGTTTAGTGCTACACACCACAGATATTTCATAATTTTTTGCATTCTCCATCTCTTCATTGTTGTGGCTCACAGCCCTAATTAGTTTTTACTATATCAATTAAACACCAACATGATCTGCTTTACACTGGATAGGCTTCCCCCCTGATTTTAAGCTCCTCGGGGTGTGTGTGGGCAGTGGTTAAGGATTAAGTGATGAAAAGAGCTGGGTCACTTTACCTGGTGTGACTGAACGCACCACCACAGGTTTCTCGCTGCCTGCTACAAAACCAAAGCCAAGCACTGGGTCCCGTCGCATCTCCACCTTCCGAGGCACCGGTGCCACAAACCTATCCCCCTCGAAACGCACTTCCTCCAGGGAGCTGCTCTGGGACACGTGACTGGAGAAACAATTAGAGAACGAAAGAAAATGTTTTAGGATATGATAGCAAAAAACAACACACATTTATTGGCTCTTACTGTTGACAAAGTCCTCACATAAGCTTTGATTCAAATACAGCACAAGTCTGTTTTTTAATCCTGGTATTATTTGAATGCCAGGATTGTTGCCATCACTGTTTAGCTGTATATTGAAACCCGGCTGTCTAAATTTGAACCCCATTCGACTCTTTACTTACCCTTGCAATTTTCACTGACAGTGCATTTTTGCTCATGTTTGCAATCGAATTACTCTCCCATGTCTTCTGCAGATAAAAAAATTGCATATCTTGTGTTGTTCTCACATAGTCCTTCACTGCTTCCTCGCTTCAACGCCTTGCACTTTTTCCTCTCCGGCTGCAAAGGCATCTACAGCTCCATATGGCGCCCGCACTGTTAATTCAAGCCGTGGGCTGACAGTGTGTAATTTGACAGATATTTTCCAAGCATGTACTATTTGTGTGAATACGAACAATTAATCTTTCATAGAACAAAGACAGTGTGATCTGTCAGTCAAAATACTAATGCTTTGACAAAAACAGCTAAAGAATCAAGATGTTCAAAGATAACTGTCAACTGAGAGCTGGGAAAGGATGGCTTATAATAAAACACTTTTTTTGTTTATTATCAAGAATATATTGTTGCATGGAAAAAGTACGGCCACACTTTCAAACCTGTGAACACAGATTTAAAGTAGCAATATGTAATATTTGCATGTCAAGTCATCATTAAACGGCCCCAATATTTCAAAAGGCATTATCAAATCATGCTCTTTTCAAATACATCTTTAACTAATAACAGTAGTTCTGCCGAGATATTTGAATATCAAAATTAGTTTTACGACCCGTAAAAGTTGTTATTGTTTTCATTTTGATGTCCTACCCTCCGCCGTTTCGCCAATCAGGAAGTCCATACGCCAGGTTGCCAGAACTCCCCGCGACTAGCTAAACTCACTGGTGAAATAACATGTGGCCGCAGAACTAAAAAAGGTCTTGTTATGACTCTCAAATCATTAATGACAAAACAAAGACTTAAACGAGGATTTATATCGGGACGCCTTTCAAAAATTGATACAGCGGATAAAAAATTTTCGTGTGATGCAAAACTTGCTGCTTGCTGTGCGTTCTTCATTGACAGTTAAATTACCTGCCTCCACAGTATCTCTGAACGCATGCAATGGTAGTCTAAAGGTTAAGTCATAGTGCTTGCATTCCAGCGACCTGAGTTAGCATCCGGGCAGAGTGTGTTTGTAATTCATTACATAATATCACTCAAAAACAGGTAAGGGACAAAAATCAAGACCACAATCACCACATGTACCCCAATTAAAATAATGTTTGTCTCTTTTTGAAGTGGGACTTATACATGTATGTCTAAAAAATAGGGAATCAAAAAAATCAAAGGGTGATATCCTCTGGAGGAAACCCTGATGTTGATATGCTGAAGAAATATGTTCCAACATCCATTCTTCCCACTCCTGTTTTGGACATCATCAATTGCTTATTTATTTTGCATAATGTATAATTAAATTACTTTTATTTTGTTTTTCTCATCTCAAATGTCCAAAAAAAAAAAAAAAATCATTCAAAACATTAATTCAACATTAGCATGGCCATCATGGCAATGTGAATGGAGACAGACAAACAACTGATAAAATAATTCCTTGTATTTGCTGCTGGATTTGGTGTGTATCTGGCAACCTGAGTCAGTGACAGTGACTGCAGTACCACGTGGCCAGATTTTTACATAATGCTCCTTTAAGTCTGTGAAGATTATATGTGAAACTGTGTGTTTCTGTTTTAAATAAATAATTTAACTTAAATTCAAACTAACTTAATTAGATATGAATGAATGAATGTGTGTATTCAGTAATCCAACATGACTTCATTACAATTTCCATGTGGTCAAAGCTCCAAAAAGACTTTCCCTATCAAGCAAGATCTAATTAAATTCAATTTAGCTGTATATACAGCTGTATATGTAATTACATTTTTTAAGACAACTTTTTCATATTTTTGATAAATAAAATACACACCATTGACACTGAGTAAATATTTTTATGCCCACGAAGAAACTGTGCATAATGTGAGAACCTACATTGCACAAAGTTAAATAGTGTATCACTTGGATTCTATTATTTTGATACCAGCTTTCCAAAATATCATAGATGGACTTTGCAGCTCCATTGCTTTTAAAATGTATTTTAATCAAGAAGGATTGGGTTAGCTGCTAGGGTTGCAGCTATCCATTATTATTTAAAGTGTTATAACCTTTAATTAATGGAGTTATCAAATAACTTTTATCTTTTCACAAAATCATTGTAGACTGTTTCTGACTGATTCTGTGCACTTGGATGATGTTATGTCATCAAAACGAGCAATTCAATAATAGCTAACTAGGCGAACAGAAGACCGTCACCTCCAAATATCTCAATACCTCTTGGGGCTTCAGTTTAATTGCTGTGGCCTGATCCTGGGTTTGCTTTTCATCTGCAACACTGAGTCCAACAGCTTGGGTACAAATCACAGCCATATGGACCTGTGCATTCAGGAAGAATACAGTCTCCTCCCCACTCGGCCACCTGCTAAACATGGCCACATTCCCATTGTTCGGACAGCCATGTATCTAATGGTGCCTAATCATACTCATTAACTGTGAGTATAGCTCCACACTGCTGAGTACGAGACAGATTAAAGTGTACATATTTGTATATATACACATTGTAAATCTATGGAAGCTTATTGGTCCAATAAGTTTCTCTGAAGAGTTCCTCATAAAGTAACTAAACTGTGTGTGTGTGGGTGTGGTCCTATCCGCCTTTTCCTGCAAGTTAACCTCCCTAAACTGCACAATTAGTGGCATAATTTTGATGCAGCACTTCTCTCAGTAGTAGTAGAGAGAGAACCAGCTGTGGATCTGCCAGACCGCCAAGGTGGTAATCAATCTGTGTCGACTCATTTGTAAATGTTGTGATGAAGTCAATCAGATGAACACAATGACAAATTAAGCGCAATGCATATCTTTATACAGGTTAAAGGCTTAGACAGCAGTTTCTACACAAGCAGCTAATTGATGCATATTAAAAGATGATTCTATTACATCACATGCTGTCACATTGTAAATATTAAAGACATGCTGGGTTATTCATATGTCCCTGTCACGCTGACTAAACATGTGTTACATTTAAAACATTTTGGCTTCCAGCACACCACAGCCCTGACAATCACACAAGCAGACAGTAGATTATTTATGAATCTCCCTCAAATTTAGCAATGCACGGCGGCGATGCATCCCTCTCCTTCAGTGCACATGCTCCTCCGCCAGCACTTTCCCCGTTTCTTACTTCTTATGTAACTCCTCTGACATCACGCTTCTCCTGCTCTAACCCATGTGTGACACCCCCAGCATCAAAAAGCCATGCAAATATGTAAGTTTACAACAGATTGAGTGTCATGTGTAAATGTTTTAGCTAATCAAGTGCATTTTGTGTGATGGTTGAAAAGATGCAACATGCTACTGTATACTACGTACGTGCAATCAAACTTCGCATCCATCCACACACACAACCAGTTGATATTCCCTGTACCTGGTCTAGAAGCGCTCGTCAGTGAGGATTAGTCAAGCTCCTGAAGAGCAAAAGCGAGCCCCGGACAGGTGAAATCTTCATGGTGTGCAAAGCAGTACTCTGCAAGCCCCTTGTTGTGCATTTGGAGCGCAGCATGAGTAGTAATGTGGTTGTGCGTGAGTGTGAGAGCAAGATAGAGCCGAGAGAAGACAGCTCCCTCTCTTGTCTCTGTGGGCAGGGAGTGCGCAGCAGCAGAATCAGTATTCTGAACGCACAGATGGAGACAGTGCTGAGGCTGTGACGTGGCTGGAATAATCACGGGTTAGAAGTGAAGTCTAAAACATCTGGGACTAAGAGAGCCCCTTGCTACTGCTGCCCCTGATAAGCATCTCTCTTAAAACACTGGGCACTTACTTAATGTAGCAGTCACGGCTTTCTCTATTGGTGCCCATGTCCCACCCATTGGGGGGTCCCTGCGAAGCACTCCAGGTCCCTGAAGGGGGCGGCCAGCCGGATGACTTTGTCCTGTGGCTGTAGAGATAAGAAGTACAACCATGAGTATGTTGGGATGATGTTGTTGTTTGTTATGGTGTCCAAAACCAAAAATGTTCATTGTATGGACAAGAACGACATGCCCGCATCCACTAACGAACCCAGGTTGTCTTGGAAACCTATTTTGTCTTTTATTTATTATTTTTCTATTCAGCTATTTGATCTTGAATTTGACTCCACTTGAATGTATTCAAAATGTGTTTTACTCAAAATCCAGATTCAGATATTTAGTAAATGTATAAGGGCTTTTAGGCTTAGAAAACTTTAATCATTACATCTGAGAATGGCATGAGGAAATAATGAAGAAATATATAACTGCAAGCTTGCCACACATACTTTGCATTATTGTGCAGCACTGCCTCACCCATTGCGTGTACATGGCGCCAAACAGCACATTTTATACAATCTTGCCGGCTGAAGAAAAGCTGTGTTAGTTTGCCCTATACAAATTTAGTCAGATTAAAAAGGACCTTCTACCACATGTTGGCTGTGTCCCCTATGTTTTCTGGCAAAACCTAATAGGACTGACTGCCTCCCCCCCGACCCAGAAATGGATTAAGGGGAAGAAAATGGATGAATGAATGGATGGAAAACTTCTCTAATTTACTCTTTGTACTTTTTGAGGTTATATAGTGACCAATACACTCCGAACATAGCTCAAAGGCCTTCACAAAACAGATGTAATTATAGTGAGGATTCCACATGTAGGAATAATGTAAGGCTGCAGCAACAATCTGCGTGTTCTGTTTTCAACAGTTAATAGATTAACAAACCCCCCTGTTCAGCTGCCATTAGAGCTTACTTACAAACGTAAATGTAATGAGTTTGCAAATTTTTTCAATGACAAGGTTCAAGGCATCAAAAACACTATTGTCTCCAATCCACAGATAACCATCCAACAACCAGAAAGGCTCTTTGAGCTAACTTACTTTGCACCTGTAAATGTTCAAACTGTCCAAGAAATAATCACAAGTCTGAGCTCCTCCACATGCAGCCTGGATGTACTACCCACTAGATTTCTTAAGTCTGTTCTGAGCAGTCTGTTACCTTCACTCACACAGATAGTAAACATGTCCCTTAATTCTGGAATATTCCCAAAGGCCCTGAAAACTGCAGTCATCAGGCCCCTGCTAAAAAAGAGCAGTCTGGATGCTACGGTACTTAACAACTATCGTCCCATCTCAAATCTGCCATTTATGGGGAAAGTCCTTGAAAAAGTTGTCTACCAACAGCTAAATAGATTTCTTATAATCAACAACTCATTTGATATGTTTCAGTCCGGCTTTAGACCCCACCACAGCACTGAGACTGCTCTCGTCAAGGTAACAAACGAAATCCGGCTGAACACTGACGCAGGCAAAGTCTCAATCCTAATCCTGTTAGATCTGAGTGCTGCCTTTGACACTGTCGACCATGAGATCCTCTTACAGAGACTAAAGGACTGGGTTGGCGTCGCTGGCATCGCTCTAAGTTGGTTTAGGTCTTACCTTGAGGGCAGGAAGTACTTTGTGGAGATTGGAAACTGTGTCTCAGATCATATGGCCCTGACCTGTGGAGTACCACAGGGGTCGATCCTGGGACCTCTTCTGTTCAATCTCTACATGCTGCCGTTAGGTCAGTTAATACGCAGAAAAACGAAGTGTCCTATCACAACTATGCAGACGACACTCAGATCTATGTCTCACTGACTGCAGGAGAACATGGACCAGTGGACTCACTCCTTCACTGTATCCAACAGATCAGTGAGTGGATGCAAAATAACCTTCAGCTAAACGCAAACAAAATGATTGTTTTTGGTCCCCAGAAACAAAGAGAGAGCGTCATCTGTCATCTCCAGTCTCTCCCTAAAACCTTCAAACAAGGTCAGTTTTCTAGGGGTAATACTGGACTCAGACTTAAATTTTAATAGCCACATCAAATCAGTAACATCAGCAGCTTTTTACCTTCTAAAAAACATTGCCAGGATCAAAAACATAGTGTCTAAAGCAGACTTGGAGATTCTTATCCATGCATTTGTCTCCAGTAGGTTAGACTACTGCAATGGCCTGCTCACAGGTCTCTCCAAACAGGCTGTAAAACAGCTGCAGAACATTCAAAATGCTGCAGCTCGAGTCCCGACTAGAACCAGAAAGTACGACCATATTAGTCCGGTCCTCAGGTCTCTGCATTGGCTTCCTGTGGCTCAGAGAATAGACTTTAAAACAGCTCTGCTTGTGTACAAGTCTCTCCATGGCCTCGCACCAAAATATATTAGTGACATGTTAGTCCCATATGAACCAGCCCGGACTCTGAGGAGCACAGGGACTGGACTCCTGTTAGTGCCCAGAGTCAGAACTAAACTAACTATGGGGAGGCTGTTTTTCAGATTCATGCTGCTAAAATCTGGAACAATCTTCCTGAAGATGTGAGACAGGCCTCCTCTCTGACAATGTTTAAAACCAGGTTAAAAACTGTGCTGTTTAGCTGTGCATACAACTGAGGGGTTTTATATTTTTATCTTTCTTTTTAATGTTCTGTGATTATTTATGATTTTAATGCTATCTTGTTCAGCACTTTGAGTTGCCTTGTGTATGAATTGTGCTATACAAATAAACTTGCCTTGCCTTGCCTAGGCTCTATTTCATTGTTAGAAGATTTGAGCATTCAGTCATTCAGCATTAGGGAATATTCAAAGGGAACATCAACATTTGCATCATGCATCACTTTGGTTTTACTTATAGCCATTCAGCAAAATATTAAAAAACATGTTTTGTATATACTGTATATATATTAGTGCGGTCCAACAATTACATTTTGTATTCACATGAATGTCATAGTTAACTTTCAATTAATTGCAAATTAATACAAAAAAAGTTATCTATTCTTTATGTCCCTTGAGCCCTCAGCCCCTCTTTACATCATTAACAGATTGATTTGTTTTTTGACCTAATATGAAAATTTTACATGTTTACCTTGTACAATGGATGAAAACGGAATTGTTGAAGAAGAAATCTTACATACTGTCTTTTTTTTACTCGGGGCTACGAAAACTAAATTCATTTTCTAGTATGTTACTTACAGTAATTGGCAGATCACAATTTCTATTGTATAGCCTTATGCCCAGTGCTTTGCCACTGGGCACCTGAATTTCTAACCATGGTATTTTACAGCCAAGTGAAATGCATTTGAAAAGATACAGTGGTGCTGGATAGTGTTTGATTTCAGCACAATAAACAATGTTCTGTAGCTATGTTCACTCATGGAATACAAATCACATTAATTACGTAAGCTCTACTCTCAGGCCGACTTGTCATGCCTTTCTCCAACCCGATGAGGGGAGAGAAACTGATTTAGTTTAAAAGTTTAAAGTTTAAAAATCTAGGTTTTAATGATGTGTGGGGTGGGACGGGATTATTTAAAGGTGAAATATTTCACCAATAAAACACAATGAAATGAAATGAGCTAAACAGAGCTAAGCATGAATAATGACATTGTATTCATCAGCACGGGTTGATTTCATACATATACACATAATTAGGGGTCCCTAATTGAAAAGTTTGCAGCTTTGCTAGTTTCTTAGACAGATGTCCATGCCTCCATTATTCCTCTATATCACACAGGATGTTAGGATGCAGTTTGTTAAAGAAACAAATATAATTGGTTATATTTTTGAGTTCACAATGCGTCTCCTCTTCCCTTTATCTTGGCCTTTGTGTCTGGGCTCTGGGTGAGGCTGTGGAAGCAGTGGCAGTAAGTTATGTCACTTCAAAGCCTTGTCTGCTGTAACAGGGCTCTTTGCATCCATTATTCAAAGTCTCTCTTTCTCCTTCTAAATGTTTCCCCAGTTACAGTCGATAATAAATTGCGTTGCAGTGTGCATCCGGGTTGGTGCGTTCACATTGTCTCGATGTTTTAGCGCACGTCATTGTGAAGGATTGCATCATCAACTAGATGCATGAGGGCAGAAAAGAGAGTACAACAAACTCAACAAACATGTGAATATTGAGTTGTAAACTATATGGTCAATTACTGAAAATAACACAATATATAAAGAAACAAGTAACTAACTAATCTAAAATTGAGCACTGTACAAAAGGACAACCGTGACATGTTACTGTCATGTGAATCAACTCTGTGTCAGATCTGTAAAGCTTTTCTTCCAATGTGAGACGGGCTTCTGTTGCGATGGTGTTAATATACAGGTTAAAAACTGTTTTGTTTAGCTGTGCATACAACTGAAGGATTGTATTTTATTTATGATTGTAATGCCATGTCTATATTAGTGCTTTCACTAACTATGGTATACAAATAAGCTTGCCTTGCTATGCCACTGATTTAACCTAATACAGTATATAAAACATTATATAACAACATTATATTTTTAGTTAGATTGAACATGTAATCTCAGGTTTGACATATCCGTTCAGTGGTTTATTCTCTTAACACTAGAGCGATGGGTGACTGTGAAACTTTAGTCTGGCTGTAACTTGAACTCAGAAATGGAACAATATAATGTCCTTGTCAATACAGATTATTGTTGAAAGCAATATTGGTAGTTCCACAGAAACATTTACAAACCTTTCACCAGCTCCACTGATGGAAATATAAACCATCTGACAAGCTTTTATTGATGCTTACTTCATTGATTAACCTACACATGCCTGACCTGTTAAAATAAGACTGAACTCACCAACACACCAGCTGCTGTACTCACACAATCTGGGGTGGAGCCTTTTCTCTTTAAAAAACCCTGGTCCATTTTGTCCTGGTCTCACAACAGCAGCATCTTGTCTCATTCAAAGCAGTGATCTTTGATTTCCATTGTTTACCAGAGGGAGAGGCATTATCCTATTGAGTCGCAGTGCTCACAACTCCACAACATTAGGCAGGTCTGTTCATCCACTAGTGGACAGTGAAACTGATATTGCTTAGTTTGCATTAATAAATAATGGCAGTGCAGTCACATTCGACTGAGTAATTGAGCGCTAAGTGGGCAAGCT